ACCATCCATGTATAATAGTTTTGGTTGCTTTATATCCTTGTAAATATGTGGAATTATCACTCTTTTAATTTGAGACATTTTGATGGGTATGTACTAAATAACTTTTGACTAAACCCAAAAGAAACTAAAAAAAAAGTTCTAATTTTTTTTATTTTTACAATGAACATATTTGTTTTTGTTGTAAAATGGTAATTTAATTTTTTTTTTACCAAAGTGATAATCAAACACTATTAAAAGTTTTTCATAAAAAAAAAAGTCACCTTTCCTACTCTCATGCTAAGTCTTTCTTCAGAGGAAACTACCCTTAGCTTTTAGTTGTTTTTCATATTTGCTAATATATAGTTTATACTGTTGTTTTTTTTTTTTTATTTATCAGCTCCTGACATGATCTGTTAACTTCCTGAGGTAGCATATGAGGACACAGCTCTCCCATCTACCCTGTATTCCCTCTCTAACTGCTAATTCCCCTGCTAACACAAGATCACATTTTGGTTAAAACAGTTGTCAGTATCTCATGATTATGATCACGAAACTACTGTTCACTGCTGATGGGGGGAAAGCTATAATCATTCCTCCTTTCTTGTACAACTCTCTGTTTTCATGGCATTAGTAATTACCTCATTTCTTCATTTGCCTCATTTGTTGTGTTCCTACTGTTAATTCTTTCCATATATTCCAATATCTTTTCCACATGTCCATGAATAATATCTTCCATATGCTCAAATAGATCACTCATTGCTGTTCCCTGCAGGCCTCTGTACTCCTTTTCCACTCTGAGTTGATTATTCTCTTGGTGTGTTGACCAATTGAGATTTCTCTTTACTGTCCCTTCAACACTCCTGTATTAGTTTCCTTATTTGCTGAATCCCATATCTTACTCTTTCTTGGTTTAGCCCTTTATTTTGCTGGAATACAGTCTTTACTATCTATGGATGGGAAATCAATTTTTTGAGATCTAAAATACCTGAAAATACCTTTATTTTACTCTTAACTTGACTCACAATCTGGCTGGGTATAAAAGTTTAATTTGCAAATAAATTTTCCTCATAATTTTGAAGGCATTGTTCTATTAAATCCTAACTTGCCTTACTGCTGCTGCAAGGTCCAACACAATTCTGTTTCTGGACTCTTTGTATTTTATAAGTTATTGTTTTTCTTTTCAGAAATGTTTAGTCTTTTTTGTTTGTCCATGATATGAAATTTCACAATGATGCTCCTCAGTGGATATTTTTCATGTTCATCATATTGTATACATAATGGGCATGCAGTTTAGAGTTTCATATTCTAGAAAGTTTCCTTCAGTTCTGGAAAGTTTTTGTTTTGTTATTTCTTTGATCACTCTTTTCCCAGTGTTTTTTATGGTCCCTTTTTCTATAATACCTTTTATTGGGATGTTGAATCTTTTGGGCTGATTTTCTATCTAATATTCTTAAATTTTTCATCTCTTGGAGAGATTTCCTCTATCTTCAAGCCTTCCTCCTACATATTTATTCCAATTTTTCTTGTTCTCTTTTTGTCTCATGGCTGAAATTCTTCCCTTATCTGTTTGAGAATATTGATTATAATTGTTTTGAACCTTTTATCTTTTGTTGTTTATTTGCTCTCATGTTGGACACTTAGCTGTCTATTCATATTAAAAAGAGACACTAAAAAGCTGATGGAATATTTTGTGCATGTGTGAGGCTTATTGATTAGTGAACTTCATAGCAGAGTACTAGGAGAGCAAGCTGTATTTACTATGCCCACCAAATGTCACTCTCTTGTGGCATCTCTCTTAGTCCATTTCATTTTTCCAGAGAAAAATTCAGTAGGCTCCTGCATGCAATATATAAGCCTGGTTCATGACATTCGAAATTTGCCTAGGAAAAGGAAGTGAGTCTCAACCTCTGTCCTATCTTTCCTTTGCCAGATTTCTGGGTCCTCTTGTTCTTTCCAGAGAATAAACCTTCTGTCTACTGCCAGGAAGAGCAAGATGAAAGGAAGCATTAACCAGATAGTTGCTTGGCTTCCTGGGCAGGAGATATAGCCAATGAGGGGTGGGAATAAGACTAATCATTCTAAATATAAACTTTCAACCAAAGTCCTTCTTTTAAACTCTTTACTTTCTGTAGTACCTTGTGTCTCCAACTACTAAACCTTTTCTCCAGTAAGTCAAACAACTTCACCAACTATTAGCTTCCACCTCTCCAGAAAACTAGGTGCTAGCTCTTCCTTTCTGCTAAATCACTTCCATCCAGTTTCAACCATTTTCCATTTTCTAAAATGTTGTTGAAATCTCTCCACTACTATTGTTCTCTCCTGATTGTGTGGTCCTTATAAATTTATACCTTTTTCAGTTGCCTTCATTTTTAGTTTAGTGGCATTTTTGAAGTTGATTTGCCATGTTTAACTAGAAGAATCATTCTTAAAGGATATAGTTTTTGGCACTTTAAGGATTTGAGAATATGCCTCAAATGCTTCACTTAAAGATTAGTTTTTCATATATATTTCTAAATTTTTAAACTACATATTTAAGCTATGCTTTAAAAAATCACTAGATTTCATGTAAAGAAATGAAGAGAAATGAAAAACAATGAATTTTGGAACACTGAAAAGAAATAAAATAAAGTAAAATGAAAAAAAAAAAAGAAATTTCTTATCAACTCTCAAAGAAATATACTGTTGAAATTGGTTTCCAGAAATGGTTAGCTAGTCTGGCCTGAGTCTTCTATATCTTTTTACCTAGACTCTCTGAAGATAAACATCAGTATTTGTAAGGCACATGGCTAAATTTAGGACTTATTAATGAAATGGATTTTGTATTTTTCATAAAGCCATCTCACCTTTGTTGAAATTGCCCCCATAAACTTAGCTTCTTCATTATTATCCACCCTTAACCATGTAAGGCAACTGCTCCCAGAAAACAAATAATATACTGTATTTCCTTTAGAATGATCTAAGAATTTGAACCTAAAATTTAAAATTATGCAGTAGGGGCACCTGGGTGGCTCAGTGGGTTAAAGCCTCTGCTTTCGGCTCAGGTCATGATCCCAGGGTCCTGGGATCGAGCCTCACATCGGGATCTCTGCTCAGCAGGGAGCCTGCTTCCTCCTCTATCTCTCTGCCTCTGCCTACTTGTGATCTCTGTCTGTCAAATAAATAATAAAATCTTTTAAAAAAATAAAAATAAACTCATGCAGTATCTTAACTAAAACAAGTTCATCAAGTATGTTTCTTTTTTCCTATGCATGATTCAGAATTACGTTTTATTTTTTCCTTCCAGAATTGGACAGGCCGTAACCCTATAACGGAGCTCATTTCCAGATTTAATTTATGTCATGTTAGAGTTATTTGGCTTTGTAAACCTAACATAAATACAACTTTGCACATTGAACAACTGTTAGAGAGCACCCTAAATGCTAAATAACAAAATGGAACAGGTTTCTACATCTAATTCCCAAAAACCTTGATATTGGTGACAAGATACTACAGTATGCCTTGAGGGATCTGCTAATCATATCCAGGCCTTTGCCTTACGAGCATGAACTGAATGCTGGCCTGGCCTGTAATTGGACTCTTATGACCATCTGGCAGCTTCTGTGACATATTAGTGGCCTTGGCCCAGTTTCTAATTGGCATGTACCAGCATCAAATTGGCATGTATCTGCATCTACAAGACAGCTTAACTTTCTAAATAAGAGAGGTCATAATATCTTTTCTTTAGCTATGATGCAATTGCTTTTGGCAGGTTTTTGTTTTAACTGAGAAGAAGCTAAAATTTCAAGATTCACATGTTACTTTAATCCTGAACCTTTGAATCTGGTTTTCTACTAACTGAAACCGAGTCTAGAAACTGCTGGTCCTGTCCCCATGTCTTGAAAAAATTATATATATATATGTATGTGTGTGTGTGTGTGTGTATATATATATATATATATATATGGCTTCAAGCCAAAGGCATTCTTAATCACAGACTGTCTGCAAACTTTAATAGAAAGCTTCATCTGTAATCATTTTAAATAGAGCCAGTAGAGACAAGATTGTTTTAGTTAGTAGCTTACCAGCTTAAACTGAGTACTTTCTACTTGGGATGGAAACTTAATCCAGGAAAAACTGAGAATAAGTTTTCACTCATATTTTATATCTTACTTGGCAACTTGTTTGAAAATATTGCATAAAAGAGCCAGCACAGGAAACATTTTATATTCTTGCTTATGATTAATAAATAAGGAATCTGAGGCATTCTATTTTATAAATCAAGGTCTTAATCCAAATCTCCTGTTTTTCTACATTAAAAAAAAAAACCTAGGGGTAAAAATAGCATTAAACTACATAGGGTACTCAGGGGTCAAGGCAACAGGCAAAACTGATTACTCAAAATGCCATTGTGCTGAGACTTTTATCAGACCATCAGCAGAAACATTCATTTTGTAGTCACTATAGATAAGGCATTTGGTGCAGCTGGTTTTATAAAAATGTAAGTAAATATGTCCTACTTCAGTTTTTCAATGCTTATTGAAAGAGGAAAGGAATGAATAACAAAATAGTAAACCAATCACTTGGAAATACAAGCTCACACATTGCTAGTTCATGGCAAATGCCAGTCACTCCAGTCAAAGACTTTCTCACCACATCTTAATTTTAATCACATCTACTCTGCCTGTATTTTATAAACCTGGCCACTGTCTTCAATCTTTAATACCCTGCACCACCACTTCAAACACACATATGCACTCACTCACACATTTTCACCTTTTTTCAAAGATTTTTCCAGTCTCAAGTCATTGGCACTTTCTGATTTTTCATTGGCACTTTTTGATTCCCTCGGCCCAGCCCCTGCCTAAGAGCCTATTGGTCTTCCAGAATCACTGTCTGTACAATATTACCAAGACAGAGAATACAATACAATATTACCAAGACAAGAAGAATACCTGTATGGCCTAGGTACTCTGGGGTTACTACCATTAGTTGACCTGTCATCATGCTAAGATGAAAATTTCTTCATCTGTATCTCTTTACAGCCTAAAGAATGTTTCTTGATACAACCAAAGGAAACAAAAGAAGATGCCACCAAGACAAGGAAGAGAAGAAAGGTATTATTCATACTTTCTTACAATTTTCTTACAACTGCAGGTGATCTACCTCACATTTCTATATACTGTACTTTGATGAGGCAGTTGATATAATTCCCACTTTAGAGGTTGTAAGATTCAGTGAGGTTTGGTGACTTTCCTAAGGTCACAAGTATTAAGTGTTTCTGTTGGAGCTAAAAATAAATTCTTCTGATTCCTATTTCAATCTTGTGGAGCACCAGACATCTTTGCTATCCACCTTTGTTTTCATTGTTGTTAGAAGACATGGATTTCTAATTCTAAAAGGATCCCAAAGCTGTCCTGCCCCCTGGCCCTTCTGGCTCTGCCGGAAAAAAATTTACCAACTTTCTTTTCATATCCATTTCAGTTTTTTAAACCAATAAAAAGAAAATAATAACCAGATGACCATAGTATATGGCATTTCTGACCATAATTTGGAACCATAATTTAACGCAAAAGTCTCCCCTTACATTTTAATACTTTCCTATGAGTGCATGGAAGACTCTTTTACTCCTGTACAGACTTTCTTATGGCTCAACCTTGGAGAAGGTGTGGTTTGCTTTGAACTTCCACCACAGTTGTGAAAACACCAGTGTAATTCTCTCCCTGCCAACAGGGTCTACTGTTGAATTCAGCAGAGGAAATATGATTGGGATTAGAGTAAAGAAGATGGATTCAAACCAATTACTTAACAGCAAGCTTTTAAAAAGTTCAGAGTATGTGTGCATATGTTTTCTTTGCTCACAAATGGCCAAATAGAAAGATGGGAGATGCCAAATTGGCTGAGGTTTGGCAAGTCCTTAAAGAAGTGACTTTAACTTCTCTTTGATAGTTTGTACACTAATGGCCTTCAGGAGTGTTAAGTTCTTGGTGGCTCAAGGTCAAAACTCTAGCTAGATAGTTTTAGCCTTGGCTGAAGTCATACTAAACTGTGCCTACTGATGACATATTTTAAAAGCCAATTCATTTGACAGACTTTGATTATTCTTGGCAGCGGTATAGAAATGAGGATATTGTGGAAGGAGGTGAAAAGGTGGGGGTGGGGAGTGGCTCTTTGTGGATCTTTGGCGAAACATTAGAAGGAAATGAGAAGTTTGTGGTAAAAATTAACTGAACAGTGGTGTGCTCCTAGTACATTGCAGGCACTCAATAAATGCTGCACAAGTAAATTCAAATCAAAATAAATGCTGTAAAGTTATTCGTGTTCTGCTTTCCATGGGGCCACTTCCAGACTCTCCCCCAAGACTTGACAGTCAAGAGTCTACAGTCCTTTGCAGTGGGCTCCAATGCTCAGATTACTCCAGCAGGTTTTACCTTAATCCAAGAAACCCAAAGTGAGACTCGGTGCCTTGAAAACCAAGTTAGGCAAAAAATTCTCAAAATTCTACTCTGGGGAATAAAAATCTTCGAAGGATTAAAGAGAGGTTTCCACAGCAACAAGATTAATTGACTTTTAACAGAAAGTAATGCCCTATTAATGGAGACTTCTACAGAAATTTCAGTTCTCCTAGAAGCCATAGACCAAGAGTTATAAAGAGACTTTTAGATATCCTATTCATTTTTCAAAGCGGTAGTTGTGTCCAAAAAGTATTTAAGTTTTTTCAAGTGTATCTATTGGAACTCACATTCATACTCAGTTATCACCAAAATCTGTGTGCAGTTTAAGTACCAGAGGATTCTTATCTATTCTAAGCTAACATCATTCTAAAATCTATCTTCCTGGGATTTTTTCCTTTCTTCTCATGTCTTAGAAGAAAATTACAGATGTTCTTGCAAAATCAGAGCCAAAACCAGGGACCCCTGAAGACCTACAGAAACTGATGAAGGACTATTACAGCAGCGATCGTTCAGTGATTGAATTAGAAGAACTAAACCTACCAGGTACAGCCAGACTTGTTTGGTTTTTTCCCTCCTTTTTTTCCCCTTACTGTTCTGAAGTTAGTCATTTAGCAGAACTCATTGTTATTGCTATCAACTTTCCTGATGAGGAAGAGCAAAAAGGGTTTTTCTTTCCTACACTATGTATGTTATGGCTAGGTATCTCCGCCAGTGAATCAGTGTATTTTCCACGTGCTAATACTCTTTTCCTCAACCTCATAGTTGTAACTTTTGAATGATTTCTTCATTAAGATGCTAAATGGTATCTGTTCAGTCTAAAGAAAGATTTGTAATTTAATTTTTTTAAAAAAGCTAATTGTTGAGTGTGCATCGTTTTAGCATTCTTCAAGGAGTAAGAATCCCTAGTTGAGGATAGAAGTTAAATTAAAATAAAAATAAAGCACACATTAAAATTATAGATATGAAACATAGTTTACTCACCCTTTATAGACAAAAACTGTAGCTTTTTTTTTTTTAAAGATTTATCTATTTATTTGAGAAAAAGAGTGTGCACAATGAAGTTGGGAGAGGAGAGGAGAGGGAAAGAGTCTCCAGCAGGCTCCATGCTAAGCAGGGAGCCCAATGACCGGTCAGGGGCTCAATGCCAGGCTCAGTGTCATGACCACTGAGGTCATGACCTGAGTTGAAACCAAGAATCAGACACTCAATCAACTGAGCCACCAGGTGCCCAACTTTAGCTTTAATAAGCTTCTTAGTTTTGTTGTGCTTATCATAGTTTTGTTTTTATGGTAGTGTTTTGGGTCTCAGGCCAGACTTTTTCAAGCAAACTGTCTAAAGATAGGAATAAAATTCCACATTTTTAGCAAAGCTGACACCTCACTCCCAAGTGATTCTTAAACCTACTATTGCTCGAGATCTACTGCCTTAGAATATTTATAATTAAGTTAAAAATATTGCAAAATTCTTAAAACAACTGATTTTAATTAATTTGAAAACTCAGATACATCCTCTAACTCTTTGGGGCAGAGAGTAAAGAGATGTTGTTAAAAATCAAACCACACAAGGTTTGGGTATCACTCTCAGATGAGCTTTTTATAGATTACTAGGGATATCTAATTACTACTATTGGAAAAAGCCAAGGGTAGCTTGATTTCCCTTTTCCATTACAACTCTATGCTTTCTAGAGGCTTAAGGAGCTGAAAAACATCCCATTCCCTGAATATTTATAATTCCTTTGTGATGTGCTTTAAAAAAAAAAAAAATACATTAAGTTTGGAAACAGGAGTGCCCCAGTCTGCTTCTTTTCCAAAAGGAATACCCTTTAGGGAATTTAAGGAGTGCATTTCCAAAAGAGCAAGATCTGGAGTTTTAGACTCACAAAGCCCAGAGGAGTCTAAAACTCCAGATCCTGCTCTTGTGGAAATGCACTCCTTAAATTCCTTAAAGGGTATTCCTTGTACTTTTTTTTTTTTTTTCAAACAGTTAGAAACCACTCCTGTCCAGGCATAGTTCCTTTGAGAAGAGCTAAGTCCTGACTATTCTATCATAGAAACAAAGAGATAACAGCTTCTGTTCAAAGTTTAACTGAAGTTTGACTCAGTGGTTGCTTTATCCTTCTAGTTCTTTGTTAGCGTACACAGGAAGGATTTGTGAGATAGTGGGATCGCTGCTGCTGTGTATACTTATGGAACATCATAAATCTTCATTTTCTAGCATTATAGAGATACAGAGGTCATAAGAAACCTTTAAAGTCATTGGATTTCCATAGTGAGTTTACATTATATTATTGCTCTATTACAGTTCAGTTATATAGTTAAACAAGAAGGTATGGTCATGGCTTGGTTTAGGAAGGAAGGAAAATGTTAAAAATATGTTAAAAATACTTTTATAGACAAAAAGAACAGGTTTTCATTTTCAGTTAAGAAATTGGGCCATTCTGAGACACAGTGAATAAAAGCATCAAGAGACCATTTAGGAGAAGGCCCAGTTTGCTACATATGAAACCAAGGACAGAGAGGAAGTCCACAGTAAGAGAAGGGACACACTCTGGGTTATTTGGAACAGGCAGGGGCAGGAGCATAAATATAAGGTGATATAGATAATGAGGTACTGTTCCTATTAGTTTGCTGAGTGTCTAAGTTGGTTTTGATTTGAGGTTATTTGTGTCTGTAGGGCAGGAACATGTCTTTTCGATTAATATTGTTCACTGTATATTGTTAATGTCATACACATGGGCACTTAATTAGTTTTGAGGCAGGAATTTCTTGGAGTTAACTCAGCTGTACTCCTGAGAGCTGCAGTGTGGTTTAGATCAGTACTAAATGCCTGTAGGCTAGCAGCAACTGAATCACCCAAAAATTAAAAAGCAAATTCCCAGGCCCACCCCCAAGGAATTCTGACTTACTAACAAAAAGAGTCCATCCTGGGAATCTGTATCTTTTGTAAAGCTCTCCAGGTGAGTCTGATCATATTCAGACTTGGGAAATTACAGTTTTAAGAACATCAGAGGCTCTACAGATGTATAGGAAGCAACATCTTTGAAGTTAGTTAACTCACATAATGTGAGTTACATATGCTGGGTCACAATATTAATGTTAAAATTAATTTAAATTTAGTCATAGTTTACTCCCTAGCACTCTACTGTGTTTATAGAAAACCTTTTTCTTATAGAAAGAATTAGAATAATAAACATGATCCTGCTTTTTTTATACATCTCAGGTACAGAGTTAATAATACTACATAATTGCTAGACCTTGGTTGAGCAAGGCCCTTATATTTTATTTTAGTGTTATACTGTCTTTTACTCTAGTGTTGTGTTGTGTTTTGATGCATTATTCCCACTCTTCTTCAGTCCACACTCCTCTTTACTTTCCCCAGAGCATTCACTCTAATGTGTTAATGCTTTTAAATGTGTATATATGCTTGTAAAACGTCATGTTGTTGTATGTGTGTACACTTTGCAATTTCTCTAAACAATGTGCTGAACTTCTCGTTCTGTCTCTTTCCTCTCTGAGCACTTTTTTGAGATATGCCTATATGGCTTAATGCACATCAAGTTCCTTGCTTCTTAATGCTAAACAGTATGCCAGTGATTTTATCTACCACCTATTGGTTATCCATTTTCTCAGATATGGACACCTAGGTTGCTTCCTGCTCCCCACTATCACAAATAATGATAGGATAAATATACTCGTGTTTATCTCTTTATAGACCACATAAGAATTTCTTTCCATTATTTACTCAGGAATGTAATCATGGGGTCATAGAGTGTATACAACTTAATTTGACTGCTTTCCAGAATCGCTATTACCAGTTTACACCTCCACCTACATTTCCTTTTTTTTTTTTTTTCAGATTTTTATTTATTTATTTGACAGAGATCACAGGTAGGCAGAGAGAGAGGAAGGGAAGCAGGCTCCTTGCTGATCAGAGAGCCCGATGTGGGGCTCGATCCCAGGACCCTGGAATCATGACCTGAGCCGAAGGCAGGGCTTTAACCCACTGAGCCACCCAGGTGGCCCTCCTCCTATATTTCACAAGAGGCTTATCACCCTACATTCTTGACAAGAGTCAGTATTATACCTCTTTCTAACAGCTATCATTCTAATGGGTGTGTGAAGTATTACCTCATCATTGTAATGTGCAATTCTATGATGACTAGTGAGTTTGAGCCTCTCTACTTAGATTTATTAGCTCTTTCCCCTTTACCTTTGTATATTGCCTATTCCATGATTTGAAAAATAAACATTCTTCATAAGTTCATTGAATGATACAACAAGCTTCTATTTCACTACTCTAAGAATCAGGGACAAGGGTGCCTGGGCAACTCAGCTGTTAAGCATCTGCCTTCAGCTCAGTTCATGATCCCAGGGTTCTGGGATCGAGCCCCACATCTGGCTCCCTGCCCAGTGGGAAGCCTGCTTCTCCCTCTCCCATTCCCCCTGCTTGTGTTCCCTCTCTTGCTGTTTCTCTCTCTGTCAAATAAATAAATAAATCTTAAAAAAAAAAAAAAAAGAGAAGAAAAGAAAAGAAATCATGGACAGTTAAAAGCTTACTTGCTCTTATTGCTGCTTTTGTTTTAAATACTGGACAACACTTTAAAATATATAATGAGTCCCATTCACTAATGTTTTACAACCTTATTCAAGAAGACACATTCACAATGGATCTGTTTTGATCATGTGTATGTTTGCAAAATCCTCTACAAAGCATGTTTGTCATATTCTAGATTCCTGTTTCCTCAAGGCCAATGATTTGACTCATAGTCTCTCATCATACCTAAAAGAAAGTAAGTAACCTATGGTTTTCTTTTAAGTTATTCACCAAGTTGTTATTACTCCATTAAAACATAAGATCCATCTAGTTAGAATAAAAACTTTTGAAACTATATTTAAAAGCAAAACTTTCCACCTCAAATGGATTTGAAATGGAGGTTTTTCTTAAGGTACATCTTGATATCAATTTCTGTTTATTTAAGTTTATTCTTGTTTTGCCCTGGCTTTGAGAATTTGAGTTTTTGTCTCATTTTTGGTTTATAATACATTAGAAGTATTGGTGTAGGAATCCAGAGATTAATTATCATTCTAGATCCAAGTCTCTCACATTTGACCTGGGGCAAATCGCTGAGTACTCTTCCAGGACTTGACTTTGTTACCTGAAAGATAAGGAAGTTGGACATGTGATCTTTATTCTGGCTGTAAAGTTCTGAAATTCTTTTCATATGCTCATAACTCAGAGCATGGCTATCACACAACCTAATTTCATCTTTTCGATATTTATTGTATATAGCCAGTAATAACCAGATTATTCATATTAGGTAGTCATCTATTGCGACTGATAATGAAATAGTTTAGATATAGAGATTTAACATTCTTTTTTCAAACACAGAGTAGTTCTGATGGCACTCAACTTGAGTTCTTAAACCTTTCTGCACCTCAAATTCAGCAGGTGTAAATGTAGGTTAAGGTAGAATCAACCTCAGTGGGTTATGAGAACTAAACAGTGTCCGTATTTAATATATGCTTGCTATTATTTTAATGTCATTTCCATTTTTATCTTGTGTTGATAGTTTCCTTAAAATTTAACATTATTGAATCTGAGTTCTTTTTCTATTTAGTCTTTGCCATCAAGCATCAAACATAAATTATCAAAAATGTATTATTCCAAACTTTTTTTTACTTGGTACTAAAACTAGTCACATTTAGCTACTTGGCATATTATGTGTTTTATGATATAAGTTAATGATATTTCATTTTAATCTAATATCTTGAATAACCAGAGAATAGAATCTGGACAATACCTAATTAAACACTAACAAAGAGTAATTGGAGAATACTCAGGGGGCTAAAATAAATAAGGGCCCTATTGTACAATATTTAGAGTAATATTTTTCTTACTTTTTTTTTTTTTTTCAGTCTGCCCTAAGTGGGTAAAACTTCGGAAAAACCATAATGAGAAGAAATCAGTCCTGATGTTGATCATCTGCAGCTCTGCTGTCCGGGCCTTGGAGCTCATTAGGTTAGATACCTCACCTATTCATTTCATTAATGTTTTCTGAGTAACTGAGATGTGTCAAGTTGATATGTTCTATATGTTGGAAATGTAACAATGAACAAAACAGAATCCCTTCTTACATGGAACTAACCTTCTGGTGAGGGAGACAGACAATAAACAAATAAATACATATTATGATGTCAGATAATGTTAAATTATATAAGAAAAAATAAAGCATGGCAAAAGGAAGGAGGGGGTTGGAGGGCTACTTTTAAAAGGGTTGTCACAGTAAGCTTTTCTAAGGAGAATGACATTTGAGCAGAGACATAAACAAAGTGAAGGAGAATGCCATGTAGATATCTAGAAGAAATACATTCCAGACAGAGTGGACAGAAAGTATAAAAGGCCCTGAAATACAATGCTACTGGAAGATTTTAAGCAGAAGAGTTACATGATCTGAATAATCAATCTAAAGGATCACTTTGGCTTTTGTGTGGAAAACAGATGTTCTGCCAATCTAGAGGCCAAGAGTAAAAGCAAGGAAATAATATAAGCAATGACAAGTTGGAAAAAATAATGGAAGAAAAGATCTAATTTAAAATAATAACAAGAAAAAATAGACTACCAAGTAATAAACCTACCAAAATCTATATAAAGAAAATATTACATAAGCAACTCAGATCTTTTTTTAAGAGGTGGTGGGGGCAGGGAGAGGCAGAGGGAGAAGAAGAGAGAGAATCTTAAGCAGGCTCCATCCCCAGCACAGAGCCTGATGTGGGGCTCCATTTCACCACCCTGAGATGGTGACCTGAGCTGAAATCAAGAGTCAGAAGCTTAACCCGCTGAGCCGCCCAGGTGACCCACAACTCAAAAGATCTTAAACAAAAGGGCATACAATATTGCTAAATAGGAAGAATCAGTGTAGGGATGCCTGGGTGGCTCAGTTGGTTAAGCATCTGCCTTTGGCTCAGGTAATGATCCCAGAGTCCTAGGACTGAGTCCTGCATCAGGCTCCCTGCTCAGCTTCTACTTCTCTCTCTCCCTCTGCCGCTGTCCCTGCTTATACTTGCTCGTTCTCTCTCTGTGTGTGTCAAATAAATAAATAAAATCTTTAAATTAAAAAAAAAAGTCACTGTTGCAAAGATGCCTGTTTTACCTAGAATAATCTATAAATTTCACCGATTCCCAGTGAAACTCTGGTAGAATTGGTTTTCTAACTCAATAAGCTAAAGTTCAAAAGTTAAAGATAAGCTATAGTTCTAAGTTCATAAGAGAAAATACAGAAGAAAAGTACCTGGGGAAATTCTGAGAAAGAACATTAGCGAGTGGATACTATACCTATAGTATCTACCAGATTACCAATAGATATGTTACCAAGTCTCCCTAATTCAAACAGTATGGAACCGGCATACTCATGACAGATCAGACCAGTGGAACAGAATTGGAAGTTCAGAAATAGGCCTATATGCATGTGAAAACGTAGCATATGGCAAAAGTGACAAAGCAGACGGGAAAGATGGATTATTTAATAAATGGAGTTGGAACAACTGGGTAGCCATCTGGAAAAGTAAAGTTGGATCCCTATCTCACTTCTCATACCAAAGTAAATTCCAAATGGACCAAAATTTAAATATAAAAATTATGTTTTAAAGATAATTTGTCAGTGCTTTACTAGGTGCTTTCACATACCTTTTCATTTACTGTAGTTTTTGTAGAAAAAACAAAAAGGCTTCCACGGGATCATTGATTTTTCAGAGAAGGGCCATCAGAGTAAATTGGGATTTACTGGAACTAGCCCTATTCCAGAGCCAGGCTTTGCACCGGCTTTGACAGGAGACAAAACAAAGGAAAGTTTAGGTCCTGGAGAAAATAAATTAAGGTGCAAATGTAGACTTTCAATAGTTACTTGCATGTATTTTTCTAAATGAACTAATCTGATTACAAATTTAGAAAAGTGGTTTTTTAAGTTCTTCAAACTCTCCTTTCCCCGCGAGGCACACACATTAAATTGTATCACACCGACTCTCAGTAAAATAAAAGTGTTTCTTGCAACTATTTCTGCTCCAAACACAATTGATCTTCAAGACTCCAGCTGTTTCTGGGCAGCTATACTTTCTGGTTCTGAAGTCATAGTAGTTCACATTGACTTTTCAGTGTTTTAAAAACTACAACCACAGAGTTCATTTCAGATTCTAACATTAATGGCAAAGGGGTTGGCCTGGAGATGGCCTCTTAAAAACAAGCTGTCACATTGATTTGGGCTTTTACTGTACCTTTCTGAAGGGCATAAAAGCCCTGTGTTGTCACACTTCATTTACCAATTCTGTGTTCTGTGTCTTTGGTAATATTATGATCTACTTCAAGGTTAAGTGATTTGCAAAAAGAGATTTCTGAGCTCGCACAACAAGCCCTATTCATAAAAACTAATGGTGAATAATTCTAACTTTTATAAGAATACCTATTCTTTTGAGGACCATGAATTAATGTTAAACATGTCCTCTAAACTCTGTCTTCCTAGTTAACCTTCCCGTGGAGAAAGCTTATGTATGAGTACAAGTCAAGTGCAGCAGAACTTATATAGTATAATTTACTATCTTGCAAATTCATATATTCCTACAGTCAATAACATTTCTCAAAACATAATAATATATCATAATATTATTAAAAAAACAATAAATATTTCCAAGCATATTCCCATGTTAGTTCTATTCCCAAACAGCAACTAAAGGATTGATTGTTCTTTTATACCTGTTGATGCCAGGAGCATTAACACATACAAAATTTTGCAGAAAAGCTCAGTCTGCTAAGTAGATAAAAGTGGAGGATTCCTCTGATTGCAGGACATAAGCCTTCTCCTCCCTGTCAGCTCCTTCCCAGCAACCCACCGTGGCAGTCACATACAAACTTTTGTAGATGCCTTTGGGCTCCACAGAGCATAGGCTGACATCACTGCTCCAAGATACTTCTTGCAACCAAATTTTGTATGAGAACTATACTGCAGAATTTAAAAATAAGTTCTCTGCCAGGGACCTGAAATATGGAAATTCTGTATTATAAATGAAGGGCAGATCCATAAGTTTCAGTTATCAAGCAAACCTAAGTAAAGTTAACCTTGTGTATGAAAAGTAGAAGCCAACCCAGATACATGCCTGAATAAAAGGATTCCTCACTTTCCTTCTATCCATGGGCCAAGCTGAAAATCTCAGCGTTTTGTATCTGTGTATATTTACACATGCATATGCTCATAGTTACACACTTAAACACATATATTCTCTTTAAAGCAAAACATAATACTTAAGTAGTCAATGTGGCCGGCAATGAGTAAGTTTTCTTAGGCATTAATCTTTTATTTTTAATTAGGTCAATGACAGCATTTAGAGGGGACAGCAAAGTTATGAAATTATTTGCAAAACACATTAAGGTAAGTAAGGGCCTGTGGTTCCTGATGGGTATTGTAAGTTATCCTTAAGGGCTGCTCCTAGCTTTTTCTTAACTCCTTAGCAGGTGTTTTCTTTGGTGCCTTTTTATATAACATATTTAACAACTGTTGTGTTCTTTACATCCCCTGCCTTTGCATGCCCACCTGCCCCAACAAAAGTTACTACTCCTCTATGCTCCGAGATTCCTGCACAGAAGTTGAGGTTTGACCCCTGGGTTCTCTGAAGATTTGCCAGTTTTAGAGAATGATGCTTTTCTATCTTGATGTTAATTAACCTTCTTTGCACTGGAAGTTGGGCCTAAACAAGGGTAGTTCTATTTGCTTTTTTACTTCTTTGGCTTTTAGATGAAATGCCTATGATTGCCCTTTCTAATGACTCTTCTTGCCTTTCATCTCCTCCATCTTGAAATAAATAGGTCCAAGAGCAGGTAAAGTTGCTGGAGAAGCGTGTGGTGCACCTGGGTGTAGGAACACCAGGGAGAATTAAAGAACTCATTAAACAAGGTATGAAGAGAGGCACTGATATGCCTACTCAGAACTGGGACTTTCTGTTTTAACCCATGTGAGTTTAGGAAACCACATTTGTGATGTAGTGAAACCAGATTTCGGTGTTCATCCGGGAGTTGGAAACAGTCTTTTGTCAGTAAAGCTAGCCAGCAGGTATAGTGCAATAGGGATTAATAGTAAGGCTTGTGGTGAACTGTGGTACATGTGCCCACCTAAATATATTCAAATTCCAGTTGCTTTAAGCAGGTTAGTGGATCCACAATTCATTTCACCAATTTGCAACCTCTAGAATTTGTAGAGCTGGATGAGTTACTATATCCCTCTTAATTAATTGAATCTTGGTTCCCAAGACTGCCATTTCAGTTGAGGGTTTCATATAAAACATGTTGAAACAAAAATGCAGTTTCTATGGATGAAATATAAGTATTCTAGAATATTTCTCCCAAATGCATTTCTCTTTTAGTACTTTACCCAGAAAGTATTCCAGATGGCATCCACCCCTGGGTTTTTATAATTTGTTAGCTTTCTCTAAGTGAATAGCCTAAAACCTGTTAATCTGCTGATGATCTTATTACCTGTTTTACCTGCCAGACTGATTAAAGATTTCTTTTCAATACTCATTTCCAAATTACTTATTTAATATAGTAATAGAACTTTGTTTTATGACTGGAGCTATTCATATATATATGTGGAGCTATTCATATACTATATATATATATATATATATATATATATATATATATATAAAAGAAATGGGTTCATCAATGTAATGACTCAATATAAAGATGGGCATTTGCCAAGAAGCAAACAAAAGCTTAAAATACTTATGTTTCTTTTCAGATGAAAGCCATCCTGGGTTAAATGAACCCACTATATACAAAAGGCTGTGCAATTACAAAGATGTAACAAACTTAGCAGCTCCAGACAAGGAATGGAAACATTTTTTTTTAGTTCATACTTGCACTGGTCTATGCTAAACACTCTTAGGTGTCTCATTAAATATTCATGATACCCGTGCAGGCTAGCATTTTTATTTCTTAGAAAACCCTGAAGCTCTGAAGGGTTAAGTGGCTCTCCCACAGTTTCTCAGTCTAGGTTTCCTAGTTCCAGAGCTTCTCCCCCTCAAGGAGCTCCTGATCCTTGAAGAAATAAATATGCATAGATGGAGATTGAGGACATGAGGCAGTAAATGCCAAGGGCCAAATGAGCACTTCCAAGTCCTATAGGAGTTAAAATACATTGTTATGGAGGCTGAAACTGGGTGGAAGGCTTTAGAGAGGAAAGGATCTTTAACTGATCTTTAAAGTGTGAGAAGGATTAAAATAGGATCTTTGAAGTACAGAGATGTGAGAAAAAGCAATCAGGAATGGGAGAACTGCTGAGTCAGAAGAGGGCAGGCAGATACACATGATTGAGATACAGTGTTGAGGTTACAAGTCCCTATTATGAATTCAGTCCAGAGTCAAATCCCAGGTCCAGCCCTGTGACCTTGGCAAGTTACTTAACCTCTCTAAATCTGTTTCTGTCTTCAAATGACAGGGATAGTGGTAATATCTTCCTCAAAGGATTGGTATGATAATAAAATGCCAATAAAGAGTTTGACACAATGAGTTTCACACCCTAAGAAATCAAATGTTAGTCTTTATTTTTATTAAAGAAACCCACTTTCTTGGTTGGAAACTTCACGGACTTTAGTAGCTGGTGATTCAGTTGGAAAGAAAGTCAGTGTGGAGGGAGGGTCTTAAACACTAAGCTGAAGAGTTTGGGTTTTTGCCTTATGGACATGGGAGGACATTGAAGTGAAGGAACAGATGAGAGGTGCACATAGTATATTTGTGAGACATAGGGTTGGGAGAATTTGGCTGGCCAGCAGGAGAGCCCAGGGGTAAACCCTGCTTCTCTCACAGCTCTTAGCCAGAGATTCACCTCACCCCTCCCTAGAATCGAGGTGGTTTCTTGTGTGTCACCAAGCCCCCCATGCAAAAGAGTCATTCTTCTCCATATTTAAAAAGAGAGAAAGGGAAAGGGAGAAAACAAAGCTCTACGTATTGTTGAAATTTGATTTCCATAGAGTTGTGTCGTCTCACTGTGAAAGCTTATTTTATTTAAGAAGTGGAAAAATCATTTAAGGAGCTGTTGATTTTTTCTGCTCAGCAAGGAGTCTGCTTCTCCCTCTCCCTCCCCCACTCATACTTCTGTCTCTCTTCCTCAAATAAATAAAAACAATCTTAAGAAAAGGCGGGGGGAGAACAATTCTAGCACTCTAGAAACTGGGAATCTAACAAAGCTGAGCAAATGGCACATAACTCATTCTATGTAGCTGTTTATGACTTAAGATGTTTATATATATTTGATATATTAAGGAAAGTTTCCAGACTTCCAAAGATATCCCAGGACATTGGGATCTGTACAGTTATAGACAGAAGTATATTGTTTTAATTTAATAATGAAGGAGATTTTCTAACAATAAGAGCTTTTCAACAATGCAAAAAGGTATAGAAAAGAAAATAAATCACTTTAGAGACAATCACTTTTAGTTAATATTGAATATATTTCCTTTAGTCTTTTTTTCTATGTATTTATATATTTTTATAAGTGGAAATCAAACTATGTATAATAATTTTATAACTTGTCTTTTCCACTTACCTTTTTTCAACTCTTTTTCTTTTTTTAAGATTTTATTTACTTGACAGAGAGAGAACAAGAGAGCACAGGCAGGGGGAGCAGCAGAAGAAAAGGGTGAAGCAGGCTCCCTGCTGAGCAGGGAGCCAGATGTGGGGTTCAATCCTAGGCCCCTGGGATCATGGCCTGAGCCGAAGGCAGACACTTAACAAACTGAGCCACCCAGGCACCCCTCCACTTAAAATATCTTATGAGGACTTTCTTTGCCATGAAATAGTTTTAATTTTTTGTTTTTAATGGCTGCATAATATTCTACATAATATTCTGTTTTTTATAGTTTTAGTGAGACATAATTGACATATAAACTTGTATTACTCCAGTATGTACAATATGACTTTATACATATATAGTGAAATGATTACCACAATAAATTTAGTTAACATCAATCACCTCAAATAGTTATAATTTTTTTCTTGTGACAAGAATTCTTAAGATCTATTCTCTTAGCACCTTTCATATGCACAGTACAGTATTAACTACAGTCACTGTGCTGCACATTGCATCCCCAGAACTTATTTACCTTACTACTAGAAGTTTTTACCTTTTGACCACCTTCTCCCATTTTCCCCAAACCACCCCCCCACCTTTGACAACCACCAATGTATTCTCTGTATCTATGAGTTATGTTTTTTAGATTCTACATTTAAGTGAAATCATGCAGTATTTGCCCTTCTCTGTTTGACTTATTTCATTTAGCATAATGTCCCCAAGATTCATCCCTATTATCACAAATGACAAGATTTCCTTCTCTTTTGTGACTGAACAATAGTGTGTGTGTGTGTGTGTGTGTGTGTGTGTAACCTTTTCTTTTTTCATTCTTTTGTTGATGGACAATGAGGGCTGCTTCCCTGTCTTGGCTGTTATAAATAATGCTGCAGTAACAGGGGTGCATATATCTTTTTTGAGATAGTGAGTTTACTTCCTTTGGGTATATACCCAGAAGTGGAATTGCTGGATCATATGGTAATTCTATTTTCCATTTCTTGAGAGTTCTTCCATACTGTTTTCCATAGTGGCTACACCAATTTACATTCCTACCAACAGTACACAACAGGTCCCTTTTCTCCACATCCTCTTCAGCACATATTATTTCTTGTGGGGTTTTTTTGGTAATAGTTATCCTAGCAGGTGTGATGTAATATTTCACTGTGGTTTTAAATTACATTTCCCTGATGATTAGTGATGCTGAGCATCTTTTCATGTACCTGTTGGCCATTTGGATGTCTTCATTGCAAAAATATCTATATTCATTTCCTCTATTTTTAAATCAGATTGTTTGGGTTTTTTGCCACTGATTTGCAGAAGTTTTTTATATATTTTGGATATTTATCCCAAGTTTATATATATATATATATATATATATATATATATTTAGCAATTCAATTATGGTAGGATACCTGGGTTATTCCTAATTTTTTGCTATTATAAATGATACTGCAATGATACTCTTTGCAAGTACTATATTTAAGTTTTTTTGTTTTGTTTTGTTTTGTTTTAAGATTTTGTTTCTAAAGTAATCTCTAGACCTAGTTTGGGGCTCAAACTTACAACCCTAAGATTAAGAGTTATATACTCTACCGATTGAGCTAGCCTGGTACCCCACTAACTATATCTATGTTTCTTTTTTTTTTTTTTAAGATTTTATTTATTTATTTGACAGAGATCACAAGTAGGCAGAGAGACAAGCAGAGAGAGCAGGGGAAGGAGGCTCCCCGCTGAGCAGAGAGCCTGATATGGGACTTGATCCCAGGACCCCGGGATCATGACCTGAACTGAAGGCAGAGGCTTTAACCCACTGAGCCACCCAGGCACCCTATTTATGTTTCTTATGTATTTACTGAGATTTGTCATAGAAAGAAAATTATTTTAGCAAATAGTAAGCATTTTATTTTAAAGATTTTATTTATTTATTTGACAAGCAGAGATCACAAGTAGGCAGAGAGGCAGTCAGAGAGAGAGAGGAGGAAGCAGGCTCCCCACTGAGCAGAGAGCCCGATATAAGGCTCAATGCAGGGCTCAATGTAGGGCTCGATGTAGGGCTCGATCCCAGGACCCTGGGATCATGACTGGAGCCGAAGGCAGAGGCTTTAACCCACTGAGCCACTCAGGCGCCCCAAATAGTAAGCATTTTAAAGCTCCTATTATATAATGCTCAGGTGCCTTCCTGAAAGGCTGTATCTGTGTGCTCTCCCACCAATAGTAAGTTATTTTTAAGGGAAGACTACCAATCCATTGTCCTTCTCAAGTTATCATTTTTAATTTTGCGAGAGAATTTTATTTTTTTAAGATTTTATTTGTTTATTTGAGAGAGAGAGTAAGAGAAAGCAAGAGAGTGGGGTGGAGGGCAGGGGGAGAAGCAGATTCCCCACTGAGCGGGGAGCCTGATATGGAGCTTGATCCCAGACTCAGTCCCCACTGAGCAGCCCACAGAGAGAATTTTAAATAAGAGGCATTATGGGGGCACCTGGATGACTCAGTCGGTTAAGCATCCAACTTTTAATTTCAGCTCAGGTCATGATCTCAGGGTCGTAGGACTGAGCCCTGCTCAGGGAACACTCAGTGCAGAGATGGCCTGAGAGTCTCTCTCTGCCTGTGCCCCTCCCCACCACTCAGGTGCCTGTTTGTGCTCGCTCTCTTTCTCGCTCTCTCAAATAAGTAAATAAATAAAATATTTAAATAAATAAGAGGAATTATAAGAAGAAAAGTCTTTTGGGCAGAAGGGGAAATATTGAAATAATCACAGAGAAAAGTTGAGGGGGAAGCGCTGCAGAGTAAAGGAAGGCTTCAGTTATGTTTCCACATGTAACATGAAACAGCTTGGGGCAATGGAAAGAACATGGGGAGTGGAAAAAACTGTGCCAAACTCTGAGACCTCTGAGGGACAGACTCTGAGGTCTCCTCCAGCCCCTCATTCCGTAATTATCTCTAGATACAGAGGAAGATAGTAGAAATGGAGTCCTTAAGTGGTTTATTAGTCTTCTCAAATGATCACAGACTTTGAATAGAGCCTATTCATATTTACTTCCTTTTCTGTCTAAAATTAACCCCTGAACCCCACCCTCACCCTTCTGTCCAGTCGCCTCCTCACAGTCATTCACACTGCATTGGACTCAACTCCTCTGAAGGGCCACTACCCAGGCTGCAGGATCCATCTTACCAAATTCCTGTCAGGAATGAGACTTCACCCTCTGGGGCTTCCTGAAATGGATGTTTGGGATTGTTTCTTTGCCAGCACTTGAGCAATTGACAAGCTTAGCAGCTTCTCTGCTTCCCTCAGAATCAGTGATAAGGTTGTAAGGAAAGCAATCTCAGAGTGCTGCATTTGTTTTCCATCAGCAAGGGCCGCCTCCTTCAGTGTACGGAGATTAGTTGCTGGGGGAGAGGACAGCAAATGAGGCAAAAAGCAACCAGGAGACTAAAAAGTCATTTGAATAAGCTTATGTCATGAGGTCTTTGCTGTAGCAACTCTCTCTATGTTTCTTTCAGGTGGCCTTAATTTGAACCCCTTAAAGTTTCTCGTTTTTGACTGGAACTGGAGAGATCAGAAGTTGAGGAGGATGATGGACATTCCCGAGGTACTGTGTAACCAGCAATTGTTTTTAATCTTTTTTTCTTCAACTTGAACTTGAGTTCAGACACAGTAATAAAATCTTTGACATGGGGAGCGAGCACATTCTGGCCATTGAAATGATTTCTATCTTTTAACTCTGAAGTAACTGCAATTACAGAGTCCATCTCACCCACTTAGACCTAACTGTATCCTTTCCCTTTGTTTTATAGGAGTCAGCTTTGTTTCTTCTTTATATGACCAGGGGTCTCTGCCCCACTGGGGACCACATCTATATTGTACCTTTGAGAAACAGGAAGATCTGGAGGACTTGGCACATTTTTGTGTGTTTTGCTTTAGAGACATAGTCATCTTTGTCTTTCATCCTTAAAAATGTGTGAGGGAGGAGAGTCACAAACTTGCCTCGTGGCCTGCATCTCCCATGCCCCAAAACTCACTTAATATAGAGTGCTATTTTGTTTTTGTTTTAGTGGGGAAATTATTTTGATGTCTCAGTGTATTAAAACTGATTAAGTGCCTTTGTGGCCACAGCATTAGCTCATTCTGTATTATAAAAGTAATCCAGGGGCGTCTGGGTGGCCCAGTGGGTTAAAGCCTCTGCCTTCAGCTAAGGTCATGATCTCAGGGTCCTGGGATCAAGCCCCACATCGGGCTCTCTGCTCAGTGGGGAGCCTGCTTCCCCCTCTCTCTCTCTACCTGCTTCTCTGCCTACTTGTGATCTCTCTCTCTCTCTCTCTCTCTGTCAAATGAATAAATAAAATCTTAAAAATAAATAAATAAATAAATAAATAAAAGTAATCCATTATCATCAAAATGTGAAAAATTGATTTGTCACCTACTGTGTATCATGGGACAATTTTTCAATCTAGCCCAATGTTTAGAAGTATCTGTTAGAGGGGTGCCTGGATGGCTCAGCGGGTTAAGCCTCTGCCTTCTGCTCAGGTCATGATCCCAGTGTCCTGGGATCGAGTGCCTCATTGGGCCCTCTGCTTGGCAGGGAGCCTGCTTCCCTCCTCTTCTCTCTCTGCCTGCCTCTTGCCTACTTGTGATCTCTGTCTATCAAATAAATAAAGTCTTAAAAAAAAAAAAAAAAGAAGTATCTGTTGGAGAGAAAAAGATTTATCCAATAATAAAAATGGCTGCCAGTCACCAACCTAATTAATCATGGTAGCAACTATCAAAGAGATTTGGAACTAATCCTCCAAGCATGCTGAATAAATTAACTTACCACTTAAAACTATATCCCCAGAATGACCAACCTGATTATGATTGATCAGTGAGTTACTTCAGACATCTGTACAGGTTAAAAGACAATTTTATCAGTTTCCTATACACATACACAAATATGCACACACACACACCTGTGCCCTGAACTGACTGGTTTTTTATTTTAATGTTATTTTTTTTTTATTTTTTGAAGATTTTATTTATTTATTTGACAGACAGAGATCACAAGTAGGCAGAGAAGCAGGCAGAGAGAGGTGGGGAGAAGCAGGCTCCCCGCTGAGCAGAGAGCCTGATGCGGGGTTCAATCCCAGGACCCTGAGATCATGACCTGAGCTGAAGGCAGAGGCTTTAACCCACTGAGCCACCCAGGCGCCCCGTGACTGGTTTTTTAAAACCAGTTCACAAATTTGATGTTAGGAACTTAAGTCTATATCTGATTATTTCAGTTATAATGTGAAATCTGAGTAACCCACTGAAAGTTTTCTAAATATAATAAGGAGGAATTGTGTCAAAGAAAAAACCTTGTCACCCAGTTATTTGTATTATGTTGATGTCATCATTATCAGCTATCCTATATTGAAATATGTGTGCAATCTCGCCATACTTTGGGTATTCTGAAAACCTTTGTATAAGTTTTTTTTTTTTTTTAAGATTTTATTTATTTATTTGACAGAGAGATCACAAGTAGGCAGAGAGGCAGGCAGAGGGAGGAGGAAGCAGGCTCCCTGCTGAACAGAGAGCCCGATGTGGGGCTCCATCCCAGGACCCTGAGATCATGATCTGAGCTGAAGGCAGAGGCCCAACCCACTGAGTCACTCAGGCGCCCCTGTATAAGATTTTTTTATGAGATTTTATTTTGAATGGTTACAAAAGGGCCCTTTAATGAAATGGATGTTTTATTAAGTACCTCTTCCTTTACTTAAGTAAATATTTCAATTCTGAATAAAACACAGGTTAAGATTTTTGCCCTCCCTGATTCTGGCTATAACAGCTACACAAATACTAGGAAGTCCAGGTGGTTGAATTTATTCACCAAGACCATCTTTTCTTGATCTTAACCTTTTCTTTTTTTTTTTTCCTTTTCTCTCATTTAGATAAGAAAGGAGGTTTTTGAACTTCTGGAAATCGGAGTCCTCAGTCTATGCAAGTCTGAATCTTTGAAGCTCGGCCTTTTCTAAGTCTGGGTCCTAATGAAAATTCCAGTTTTTATGGTGGGATTTGCTTCTCATTTAATAGCTCTGGAATATTGCAAGGACTCAGTAAATATCAGCTATTGTTTTATTATGTTAACTGGATCACCCCATGAATCACTAGAAATTTTTGGTGGAGATTCTTTGACAGAAACGAAGCTGTCCTTTGCCAACTTCTCTGTATAATAAAGTATCACCAGCTTGTGTATGATTTTTTGTTAAGCAGACAGTTTTTCTTTCACCAGCTGGCCTCTCGTGTTACTTTGCAGAAGGGAAAGACCATCTGGGCAACCTTAACCAAGCCACTTTCCTCTCTGAGCCTTGGTTTCAAGAGCTGCAAAATGGGAATGATAACTCCTAGGATTGTTGAGCTTCCATATGACAGTACTCATGGAACAGACTCCTAAACTGAAGGCTGGTCCTAGTGTGAAGGGTGCAGTGGTGCTGATAGAAAGAGTTGTGGGTGTATGTGGCACTTGGCAAATATATGGAAGATAACAATATAACTACAACTATCTTAATTGTTTTGTACCTTATTTTAAAATAATCTCAGATTGACAGAAAATGTCTGGTAATACCTGGGAAAGCTACCTACACAACATTAGAGAGAAATGAAAGCAAAGACTTAAAAAAATCACACTCTGAAATGTCTCATGATACCACAATATAACAACTGCTAGCAAGTTGTCATATCCATATCTATCTAGAACTATGGATCTTCAACCAGGGACAATTTTGCCTCCCCGCGCCCACCCGCCCCCCTTGGCCCCAGGAGCCATTTGCTATGTCTGGAGATGTGTTTGGTTGTCACAACTGGGAGGATACTACTAGCATCTAGTGGGGAGTTGGGACTGGCTGTTACTTAGTAGGTAGTATCCTTTGGCCAAAGGTACTGCTCAACGTCCTACCATCCTACAGGACAGCCCCCACAATAACAAACTATCTGGCCCAAAATATATCAGTAGTGCTGAGGGTAAGGAAACCCAGTTCTAGAAACTTGAAAAACAGAGTATATGAAGTATATCTGTATCCTTGAAGTATATTTATTTAGAAGAGAAATATGTAAATATAAAAGCACCTGTAAAGTAAGATCTGCTCTCTTAGGAATGTTACCTCAGAAGTGTATTCACTTAATACCTGTGATGCTTAATTTTATGTGTCAACTTAACTGGGCCAGAGGTAGCCCAGATAGTCAAGCAAAAATTATTCTGAGTCTTTCGGTGAGGGTGTTTTTAGATGAGGTAGACATTTTAAGGGGAGGACTTGAGTAAAGCAGATTGCCCTCCCTCTTGTGGGTGGGCCTCTTCCTGTTAGTTGAAAGCCTAAATAGGACAAAAGGTTGACACTGCTCACCCCCACACACCCTCCACAAACCACTCCACCCCACCCCCCCACAAATAAGAGAGAATTCTGATTCCAACTGAAACATTGGCTCTTACTATTGATAGCCTTCAAACTGGGACCTCGGCTCTTCCTGATTTTACAGTACCTTTTGGCCATTAGACTCAAATCAAGACATCAGCTCAGCAGATTTTGGACTTGCCAGCCTCCTCCATAACGACGTGAGCCAATTCCTTCTAATAAAATCTCTTTACATACCTCCAATTAGTTTTGTCTCTCTGGAGAACCTTGACTAATAATACTACATGAAAGTTTCTCCTACTTTAAGATTTGGGTTAGTTTGGTTTTGTTGTTTATAAAAAGCTTCAGAAATTCTGTTCCTACAGATTTGTTACTGTAATGCCCTTTTGCTAGGTGTTATCTATGTAGTATAATCCCACCCAATGTTGGACCAAATTCCTAAGTGGCAAACATACCTGATTATTTTGTCGGCCAACCATGCATATATAATCTAATCTTGTAAGCTGTTGCTGCCTTTTAAACCCAAGTTCTTGTCCGTGTTTGTTTAGTAAAACAATTAGATGTGAATTAGAAGTGTTCACTACCATCTTCTCACACAAAGCTGATACCAGCAGCAATACCTGCCACCGTCTCCAAGCCAGATTCAAGTGATGTGCTGAAAATTTCCCCCTGGCATTTGCTTTTCTCAGTTTTGCAAGTGGAAAGCTTCGACTCTGAATTGGATTCCATCTAGTATGAGTTTTTGCATTTATTTTGTATTCTTTTAAACTAGGCACACCTGCCAAAGTTGTTGCCTTCTTTAATATAAAAATAGTCCAAGGGTACCTGGGTGACTCAGCCAGTTAAGCATCTGATTTGATTTTGGTTCAGGTCATGATCTCAGGGTTATGATATCAAGCCCAGCATCAGGCTCCATGCTGGGTGTGGAACCTGCTTAAGATCCTCTCTCTCCCTCTCTTTCTGCCTCCCCTTAAAAAAATAAAATGAAATAAAAATAAAAGTAATCCAGCATGGCTTCTCTGCCTAATATTAACTAAAAAAGGAAGATTAGGAAGTTGCCTTCTTTTTTTAAATCCTAAATTTGTACCTTAAATACATCTTAAAGAAAAGAAATTATTAACAGCCCAATGAAATGTTAAGGGATTTCTGATAAATGAGAAAAACCCCAAACCAAACTAATAATACCATATTGCAATACTGAACTTTTAATTGAGTATCTATCTTCCTCTTCCTTTCTCTTGCCTCATTTGAACTACTCTAAAACACATGCTTGGAAAAAGTTTAGGAGGAAATGTTTTTAATGTACACTTTCTACTGGAGTCTTTCTTATGGATGAAAAAATGGCAGCTGCCGAGATCAGACATCTGTGTTCCACAATCCCAGTTTGCATCCCTCTTCCTCATTATCACAAGTAGCAAAGTTAGCTACTTGTGATAATCTGAGAGCATTCTTCCAACTTAGTTTATATTTATGTTAGAAGCAGCCACATTTGGAAAAAAGCTGATAGCCCTAACTTTTATTTTTTGTATTAATCTCCAAGGCTTTAGGCAAGTTCTCTAAGATAAATCCATGCTTCCCCTTCAGGAAGGGCTTGCCTTGAATTAGTCACCACATCCCAGAAATAGCCCATTATAACTGCTTCCCAGTATCACTGGATGTTGGTCTGTGCAGACCCTGCTGGGGACTCTTCCTCCTGGGCGTGGCATTTAGCACACGCTTTTTGAGCCTAAAGTAAAATATACCAATGGCTGATTGAAGAGAGCTGTGTTATATCCTGCTGAATATCAGGTTCAGTTAAGGAATAATTCTGAGAAGTAGATGCAACTAAAAGGAAATTTCATATAATTCTTCATTTAGTATTGGCATGCAGTATCACTATGTGTAATAATGTTTTAAATTCCTGCAAAGTATACCTCAGTCACCTGCAGGGCCAAAATGAAGAGGACATCTGAGGAAAGTCAGTCCCGATTGCCAGACAACTCTGCCCTGAAGCAGCAGCAATTGCCTGCCTACCGGCTACAGCTCACAGCCACTGGAGTCCTCTCTGGCTTTTTTGCAACAGGAGTATTCTGCCTTGGTGTTGGCATCATTCTTATATTGTCTGCAAAGAGTATCAAGGAAATAGAGGTTTGTCCCATCTTACATTGTTAATGTAGATTCTAAGAATTTTTAGCTTTGGGACTATAAATGAGTGATCAGTTTGAGAACACAGCCCCTCAATAAATGAGACTAGAACATCCCTTTTTCAGTTAACCAGTGCAGATGGTGGCAGCCTGTGTGTTGGCTTTATTCATCCCTACTCCCTCTTAAGGACACACTCTCACGCTGGTCTGCTCAGCCAATCATTGACAGGAGCCTGGCAAACCCAGAAGCTTTTTAAGCTGGCTGGAGAACTGACCACGGATTGATAGAGGTAGGAGAAGGAGGGGCAGGGTCAAATGACTGCCAGATGCCTGTGAATCATATGGATAAAAAAGTAAAGAGACAAAGCGGTCTTCAATTTTGTCCCACTTTCAAGCTTTGTGTCTTTCCCTTTGCAAATGAACTCCCTCTGAGATCATTATTTTAATCTAGGAAAGCCAAGAACCCAAATATTTCTGGCCTCTTAAGGATACTTAGAAATATTAACTAAATTCTGCTGGAGACTGAGAGTTTGCACACGAGTAAGATAAGTAAGAGTTGGTTCCTGCCCTCAGTGAGCTAATGAGAGAGTAGTTAAGGCCGTGTGTGGTAAGAGCAGAAAGCTCAGCCATGGCTGCCTTGTTCACCATATCCACAACCCCTTCCTTGCACACTGCCCAGTACATAATAGGTGCAAACTTAGTGGAAGAATGGATCAGGGCAAACAGGGCTTTAAAGAGGAAAACACCATGTCATGTCCCACTCCTCTTACCAAACCACACTGCTCTAATGCCTTTCCACTTATATTTTCTGCTACCAACTCTCAGCAGTTTATCTTCCAAGGAATTAAATGCCCCTAGGTCCTTTTGAGTCCTCCAGTGAGAGATTTAAATGACCAGGGTCCACCAAATAGCAGATGAAAAATGGCAAGAGAAACTTAAACTTGCCTTTTCCACAAACAGCTCATCCTATTTACTTTTTCTATTTTCTTCTTCACCAACACCTTTCTTTCTGATTTCCCTCCCCCCTTCCCTTGCTTCTTCCCTTCTGGTTATCCACCCTCACTCACTGTGAAGTGCAGCCTTCATTAAGAGGCAGCCATTGCTAAATGATGTCACCTCGTGCATTTAAGGGAACCTCACTCCACAGTTCACTAGCCACTCTGCAAACAGCTTTCAACAGAATGATTTTTATCATGTTAAGGATATTTTCCAATTGACCTTTTTCCTAGTCATAGGATAGGACATGTTGCTTTTATACAAGAAAACCAGAAACCACTGTGATAGTGAGATCCTCTTTTGCACATGGATGTATTTCATTATACTGGGTGATAAGATGAAGTGCATACCTCAGGCCAGTGTGATCAAGAACAGACCTAGTAGAAGAGCTCTAAGTGGTTTTCCTCTTCTCACTTAGCCTTGGGCTACAAGAATGAAGTGACTTTATTCCAATTCCCTTTGAGCAAGAATGATTGTTCCTGCCTCTCCAAATTTCTATGAGGAGCAAGCAGATTGTGATCTTTCCTGTCATTTTAGAGCTATAGGTTTACAAAGTCATTCAAGAGAGTAGATCATAGATATGTTTTCCTCATAAATATTTATTGATTTTATTATTTTTTCCATCTTTAGTCACCTATTTCACCCATCCCTCTTCCCTTTTCCTCTTTGGTAACCACCATTTCTTAATAGGAGTCTGGGGGTTTTTTTTTGTTTCTTTTTTTTTTTTTTCCTTTGCACATTTGCTTTGTTCCTTAAATTCCACTTATGAATGAAATCATATGGTATTTGTCTTTCTCTAACTGACATAGTTCATTTAGTATAATACTCTCTAGCTCCAGGGGTACCTGAGTGGCTCAGTCAGTTAAGTGTCTGACTCTTGATTTCCGCTCAGATCATGATCACAGGTGTGTGAGATCAAGCCCTGCATCAGGCTCTGAGCTCAGTAGATATGCTTGAGATTCTCTGTCCCTCTTCCTCTGCCCCTCCCCCCACTCTCACTCTTTATGAATAAATAAATAAATACATAAAATTTTTAAGAAATACTCTTGAGCTCTATCCACATCATTGCAAATGGCAAGATGTCATTCTTTTTTTGATGGCTGAGTAATATTCCATTATATTTATATCTCACCTCTTCTTTATCCATGCATCAGTCTATGGACACTTAGGCTGGTTCTGTAGTTTGGCTACCACATAAAACTTAGAAGTAGAAAACACCTTAGAGGGGTGACTGGTTGGCTCAGTCATTAAGCGTCTGCCTTTGGCTGGGGTGGTAATCCCAGGGTTCTGGGATCGAGCCCCACATGGAGCTCCCTGCTATGCAGGAAGCCTGCTTCTTCCTCTTACACTCCTTCTGCTTGTGTTCCTGCTCTCACTGTCTCTCTCTCTGTCAAATAGGTAGATAAGTAAATAAATAAATAAAATCTTAAAAAAAAAAAAAACAACCTTAGGTATCATCTACTCATAGATCATTTGCTCATGAAACACATTTTTTTCCTAATTCTGCATTAATAGAAATCCAACAAGAATCCATGGAGTAGAATGAATACTACGATAGCAAGCTCACAGATCAATTAATTGCTAGACAAAATGATGCTGATCAATAAAATGTGGGCCCTGAGATTAAATATTTAAATCAAAGTCAAAGATTGACTGAACTGAACAGTAGTTTCCTCAGTCACAGTTCAGTATGCTGTCAGTTATGGTACAGCCCTATTCTTTAAAGCTTTTTAAAATTTAGAATGCAGTTTCACACACAGCACATCAATATTTTCCAAAATAATAGCTCTAGCCTTGTTGTGTTTTTAAAGAATGACTTAAAAACACATACATACATATATGCACACATATATAAAATAATGACAAGTTAATATGAGAATCTAAGTACTATTAAGTAGGCTTTTGGCTAATCTTTAATGTAGTACTAACACTTTGGCTCTTTGGCTTCAAAACTCCTTGTGGTTTGCAAGGATTAAAAAAATGCTATCTTTCTTGTTAGTATTCCCTCCCAAAGAATCCTACATCCCATTGGCAGTTTACCAAGGAGAATGCCACTTTCTTGCTTTCCTGCTCTTCCCCATTCCCATAATCTAATTATTCTTCAACACAGTGAGGAAAGAGCAGAAGGAGAAGTGCACAGCCTCTGTGAGCCTTTCTTCCTTAAGCTTCTTCCAGCTATATCTTTACATAACTGAGGCTCTTAGCCAGAGCTCATGGGATTTGCTCATTTGGAACACAGCACCCTTTTTTAACGAGTCCACGATACTATTTTAAACAAAATTTAACTTTTAAAAAACAGAATATGACAACATTTTAAAATCAGAATTATTCCACATATATCAATAACCCTACATTTTGGAAGCCCTTCTTTTTCTGTGTTTGGTCCTTTTTAATAACTTCCTCTAGATGTCATGTAGAAAAATTCATTAGTATAAATATTTTCCATACAATAGAATGGAAAAATGGTGAAGTGACTTCCCCATAAAGCTGATTAGCCTCAGACTGTAGACCCAGTTCTTGTGAGTCATTGTCTAATACTTTCCTAATGACACCTCTTTATGATGGAGACACAAGCGTACATCACAACAGGTTGCATAAATATACAATAGAAACACTGAATTCCAGGTCAGTGGCAAAATACTGCCAGGTCTGAAAATGAAAGCCTGTAGAAGGGCCCACTCCTTCCAAGCATCTCCGGAAACACTTTGTGCCCAGCAGTGGACTATCCTTCATTCATGTCCCAGAGTCCATGCCCTTGACACAGAGCGTGAAGACATAGGTGGACTCAGGACTTGATTTTTAAAATATGAACTCATGTAATTTTTAATTAATAATTGTTCTTTTCCCTGCCTGACAGATTAAATACACAAAAATCTGTGGAAATTGTGCAAAACTGCGAGAAAATGCCACTAATTTTGACAAAGAATGCACCTGCTCTATTCCCTTTTACCTTTCAGAGACAATGCAGGTAAGTGAAATTCAAGAGTCTTCAATTAGCTGTACACTGATCTATTCCCATTTCACACTTGGCAGTAAGTTCATGATTTCCACCAAGAGCTTTCCAAAACTGAAAATACAAAAAATGAAACAGAGTACTGGTGAGGGACCTTACAAAGTGTTGAGTTCATGCACGACTCTCCCCCCACTTTTTTATTTTGGAATGTTATTCTTCTCCTTTGTTTCTAAGTTTCCAGACTCTCTACCTACCCCACTTCATAACATAATTTTTATTATCAATCAGATTCTATTCCAAATGTCAACACAAGAGGAGACCGTAGAGATCATTGAACCTAACCACTCATTTTATAGTGAGAAAATTAATGGGCTGAGAGGTTAAGTGACTTGGACAAGGTTAGTATCAGGGGTCACACACCTGCTGGGATTCTCCCCCATCCTCCCTTACCCCACCCCCTCAAGTCATTCTACATTTGCAATTGCCTAATCCCCAAGGCAACTCTTGGCCTGGCTGTCAGGCACTGTGAGAAATGTGAAAGAAATATTAAAAGAAGTCCCTGCCCTTGGGCTGATTAAAGTCTTATGTTAGTCCAGGTCCTCTGAGAAGCAGTTGCCAAGATAGGATTAGACATGCAAGAGATTTACTGGGGGAACTGCCTGTGAGGGAAAATGGGGAGAGAGCCAGAGGAGGCTGGAAGAGCTGTTAGATCACAACACAGCTCTAACCCTGTGAAGAAATGGGAAGCGGTGAAGGAAGGAAGGAAGTTAGGGAGAAAGGTCTTGGACTCCAGTGTATTCTTTAAGAAGTTTCAGCAAGGCCAACAGAGAATCCCTGACGGAGTCTGCCTCAGTATCCCTGCTATGCTCAGCCATTGAGAGCACCAGGGACAGCACGGCCTCGGTGCAAACACAGGATGATTTCAGAGCAGTGATAGCTGGGGTCATCCCTCGGTTACTGTCCCTATAGTGGGAGACCCCAGAAGCATCTTTTCAGAGCGTCCACGATTTTACCTGGTAGTCAAGACAACGAAATAAATGAAAAACTGTATTCCCCTCAACTCCTCAAAGATCCTGTCCTGTCCTCTAGAATCCACACCTCTCCCCCGACAGTGTCCTCCTCTCTGACTTGGTCGATCCCCCTCTCTCCCTTTCAGATGACTCTGCATGGGCTGAATCTAAGTATAGGCAGGCTCTCTCTTGAGCATCCCACTGAGCATTCCCCTTGAGCTTCCCACCTCAAGACCCTGCTTCCACCTCAGACTCAGCTGGTCCCAAATGAGACTCATCATCATCATCTGGAAAACTCTCCTTACTTCCCTTGCTGGTAAAGATCCCATCACCAAGACTCCAAACTTTCCTCTTTGACTTTACCCTGCCAACTCCTTTTTCATCTAAGCCTCTGATGTGCGGACACTGTTCTTCAAACAATCTCTGCAACCACCCTGTCCTCTTTGTTTTCTTTGGCATTGCCTCAGTTCGGGCCTCCTGGTCCGGTATCAGAGCTACCTACCTGCCTTTGGCTTCCCCTACTTCCAACCAGCTGTTGTTTGCAAAATAAGTTCACCATCCTCCCCGCCCCCCCAAAAAGCACTCTTTCAGGTTGCTCTTCAAGCACCTGAGGGCCAGCTACCTTTTCATAAAAAGATAGAGGAAGAAGGAGACCTTGTACTCTAGCCAGCAGACCAACTTGCTCTCCCACAATACGACTCTCTCTGTTTCTGCTATTGTTTTGCCTAGAAAGTCTCCCCACTCACTGCCACTTGTCTTAAAACCCTAACATCCCTGGGCATTCCTTGAGCCTCCTTTTCACTCCTTTCTCCAGCAACAGTTCGCCCGCATTCATATCCTGGGAGCAGTTTCCGTTCTTCCGATGAACTTATTATAATCAGTTGTAAAGTAATATCCTGTGGATTCACTTCCTCTACTTACAGGAACCTCCCTGAGGATAGAGACCATGCTTTACATGTTACACCACAACTACCTACTCGAAAGTGCATGCGCTACACGCTCAACTTTCCCCCAACCCTTCCTTTACCAGGTCAACTATCCCTGTTCCTATCTGCAGGCTTATCTCCACCTGTACATAGATGCCTTCTTTTCTTGCCTTTATAAGGACTTCAGTCAGCAGTTCTGTCCTCTCCTATATCATCAGCTTTTCTTTCTACTCAATCATTCCCAGCATACAGACATATTATTTCACTTATCTTCAAACAAATCACTCTTCTATTCTCCCAATTTCCCTGCCAGCTATTTGCCCATTTCTTACCTCCCATTAGCAGGAAATCTCAAATGAGTTGTCTATCTTGGCAGTAGTTCCTCTCTTCTCACTCTCTCTTAAATCCACTCCAGTCAGGGTTCAGCAGTCAGACCTTAGTGCCTTGTCACTCACTGGACACAAGTGATCACTCCCTCATCCTCAACATACTTTCTTCTCTTAGCTTTCAAGCTACTATACTGTCTTGGTTTTCCTCCTGCCCCCGATTGCCTCTCTGGTTCCTTTGCTGTTCTTCCTGTTTACCCCAAACTCCTTATGTTGAGATAGACAGCACTTTGGTCCTAGTCTTTAGTCTTCTTCTATGTTCACTTTTTTTGAAAATGTCATCTACCTCCGACTTTAGATGCCATCTACTGCCAACACCATTTTATATCTCTAGCTTAAAATCTCTTCCCAATCCATACTTGTATGTCCAGCTGCCTTCCTAATATCCTGTGGATTTCTAATAGATATCTGATGCTCAGCATTTCCAAACCTGAATTCCTGGTTTCCACTTCTCCCCTTATCCACTGCACCACTCCCTGCCCCTACCAAAAAACCCAGGCCATCCAAAGACTTCTCAATCTCAGTTGGAAACAACTCCATTGTTCTAGGGGCACCTGGGTGGCTCAGTCATTGAGCATCTGCTTTCAGCTCAGGTCATGATCCTGTGGTCCTGGGATCGAGCCCCACATCCCTGGGCTCCCAGCTCAATGGGAAGCCTGCTTCTCCCTCTCCTGTGGCCCCTGCTTGTGTTTCTTCTCTCACTGTCTGTCTCTCTGTCAAATAAATAAAGAAAATCTTAAAAAAAAAAAAAAAAACTCCATCCTTCCAGTGCTCAAGCCAAAAGTCTAGTAGTCGTTGTCATTCCTTTTATTCTTTCACACTTCACATCCAATCCATCCTGTTGGCTCTACCTTCAAAATATATACAGGGTCTGTCCACTTCTCCCACTTCTCGCACTACCACCCAGCTCCATGCTATATTCACCTCTCCCTTAGATTTCTGAAATAGCCTTCTAACAGGTATCCCTGCTTATATCCATATCTCAACATAGCAACCAGAGTGAGTTTTTTCTTTTTTAAGATTTATTTATTTATTTGAGAGAGAGAGAAGGGAGAGGCAGAGGGAGAGAGACTCTTAAGCAGATTCTGCACCGAGCATAGAGCCCAACACAGGGCTCAATCTCACAACCCTGAGATCACAACCTGAGCGGAAACCAAGAGTCCGCTGCTCAACCAACTATGCCACCCAGGCACCCCCAGGGTGAGCTTTTTAAAGTCGAAGTCATATGTTATTCCTTTACTCAAAAATCCCTGAAGTGGGGGCACCCAGCTGGCTCAGTTGGAAGAGCATGCAACTCCTGATCGCTGGGTCATGGGTTGAAGCCCCACACTGAGAGTAGATTACTAACAAATAAATTAACTTAAAAAAAAAAATCCCTGCAATGTCCCTTCTTTCCATTCAGTGAAAAAGCTTAAGTCCCTTCAAGGCTTTGCATGATTTGGCTTCTTATTTCCTCTCTGACCTAATCCTTCATTCTATCCCCCCTACCCCACTCCTACCACACTGGAATCCTCACTCATTCAACTAGTCATGTGTTCTCTTGCCTTGCCCCCTGAACCTGATATTCATTTGGCCAACTGCCCTACATCCTTCAGGGCTTGGTCCAACCTTCACTTCAATAAAGCCTACTGTGGCAATCCTATTTCACACTGCCAACTGTCTATTCACCCCACTCTTGTACTACCGCCGATCCTTGTTAACTTGCTGTGATTGCAATTTTTCCATAGTATGTATCACCTCCTAATTTGCCAAATAAATTAATAGTCTATGATATGTATTGTTTATTGTCCGTCTCTCACTATCGTGTCCCAAGCGCCTATGACAATGCCTGGCACAGTGTAGGTGCTCAATTAATGTTTGTTGAATGAACATATGAATCTCTGCTTCCTCCACAGTGCATAACACAGTATATTTATGTAGTAGGTGCTCAGAAAATGTTGAAAGAATAAATGAACAGAGGAAAGATAAAGTGCTTAAATTATATGGCTTTATGTTCTAGGAAGCTTTGGTTTTATGTGACCTTTTCTTATTTCTCTCTTGATACCAAATGAAAGCATGTTGGCATTAGTTATATTCTGAATACATCCAGATTGATTATGGCTAGGGCTAAGCAATTTTGTGAGTAAGTCAGATATAAACTATAAGGGAATTACTGAGTTGTACTGGGATTATAAGTAATATCTACATAAAGTCAGTGAGGGAGGTTTTATGTGTGTGTTCTTATAGGTCAAAATTCTAGTTCTTTATAGGTATGCCCTTTCTTGCCTTCCTCAACTCACCATGCTGAGTTAGTGTTAGCATAGACAGTACTTACACTTGTGGTTAGCACAGCATAATGTCTAGACTTTGTCAAATCACTATGTAGTACACCTGAAGCTAATGTAACATTGTGTATCAACTATACTTCAACTGAAAAAGAAAGTTAGTGTTGCCTAATTTTGGCCGGAAAGCAGGGGATGCTAAAAACGATAGAAAACTAATCTCTCACAGTTCTGGAAGTCAAAAATCTGAAATCAAGGTGTGACAGAGTCAACTCCTTCTTGGAGGCTCAGAATACTTACATTTTTTTTTAAAGATTTTATTTATTTATTTGACAGATAGAGATCACAAGTAGGCAGAGAGGCAGGCAGAGAGAGAGAGAGAGGAGGAAGCAGGCTCCCTGCGGAGCAGAGAACCGGATGTAGGGCTCGATCCCAGGACCCTGAGATCATGACCTGAGCCGAAGGCAGAGGCTTTAACCCACTGAGCCACCCAGGCGCCCCGAATACTTACATTTTTAAAGAAAAAATCCAAAAGATCAAATCTTAAGGGTTTCAATTTCCATCTGTCTGTGTACTTTGAAACCTTAAAGTCAAATAAATGTTACCAGCTGCTAACCATTCCTTTCAGGCAAAGACTTTCTCATAAAAATTCAGCCAAACTAGTTAGTGCAATTACTGCTAGCCTTCAGTTCACCAGTTAGCACACAGGACACATGCTAGGCAATGAGTTCACGCAAGACTGCCTTAAACTAGGAATCCTGCACAAGAGTGCCACTGAATTTAGAGAAGAACTACCATAGAGTGCCTTGTGCCTCTAGGACCAATAAAAAAGGGAGGCCTTGTTAAGCTAAATTTTGGACAAAGAATCACTAAAAAAAAAGGTTATTAAAACACTTCTGTCCCTGGTGTGGTGTGAGTGTGCTCTGCCTGTTTATTTTGTCATTTATGTGGATGTATCACTTTGGGTAAGTGAAATTCTCTTTTTAGCCTCCAAGAAAAAGTATGGTAAAGTCCACTCTATGGGTTTCATATTTTCTGTAGTTATGGGTCAGCAGTAGAGGTTCCCTTGTTGGGTGAGGAAATGTAATCAGTCATTCCCGCTATGCCTGGTTTGTTTGCCTTCACACCCATGGTCTCTCTTTATGATGTTGCAGCCTGCCTCTTTGTCATGACCCAACATCTCCCCTTCTTGGTATTCCAGACACTTTTCTCTTACAAGTGACTAAGTTCTTAAGCCTTTGTGGTCTTCTGTAAATGACCACACTTACCATGGCCTTTATTTCCAGCCTGCCCTGAGTACCAGCTCACATTTTCCATATTCATCCTCTTACATGTCCTTAGGGTGAGACCAGAAGCCTTTCCAAAGTGCCAGTTTTTCGTGGTATTCGCGAATCAATTGACCCCAGAGATTATAAAAGAATACATTTGTATTTCTGGCACTGAATATAACAGCTAACATATGGGGAGCACTTAATAAAGGCCTTCATCCTTTTGGATGCAGGCCTTCATTATTTTGGAGGTAGGTCATATATTAATTATAAACAGCCACATTGGGCATTTCCATTTGCATTATATGTGCTATTAGTAAGATCTGTATCAAGTCTGCCTGGAGAATGTTGGTATGTCACCATAAAGGTAAGCATGATGGTAGCCTATGACTAGACAGCCTCATAGTGTAGCATAGATGAAAAGGACCATCTCTCATGGCAACAAGGTGACTTATTGCCAAGGCGAAAATAACCTTTCTTTCAGATCCATGAATTATTCTATTCCCTTTTTTTTTTTTTTTTTTTTTTTGGTCCATAACAAATGGTTCACCATTTCTTGAGCAAGCGCTGTGTGCCAGGTACTGTGCTAGATTTGGGGGATAAAAAGACAAAGACCCCAGAGCTAAACTACAAGGAACAATCTCATGCCTTTCACATGCACCCAGATGGCTCCAACTTCAAATATGTTCAAGGATTTCGTTTGAAATAATTGACTTTGATGCCTACCCCAACCCCTGGGCAAAGCATTTTTCCTGGTATTGTTAGAAAATAATGGTATCTGTAGCATCAATTTTATATATTGAGAATACAAAACCTGGTTTTAAAATTTTTTCACGGTGGAAGCACAGCAACCCTTACAAAAACATTGAAAATAAGTTATTTGGTGATTTTAATAATTCTGTGTAGACAAGGATTTTCCAACTCTGATTTTTTAAAAATAATTTCTTGGGTTTCTGCTTGATATAAAGAAACTTCCAGTTCCTATCAGTTCTCTCTGTGGTACTTTTTATTCTAAAAATTGTGTCCATGTTTATTAACATTCCAGTTAATTCTTCTTGCTTTTCTCCTTTTTCAGGGTAATGTTTATATGTACTACAAACTGTACGGCTTCTATCAGAATCTCTATCGATATATTCTGTCCAGAAGTAATAGCCAACTGGTGGGTACAGACTTAAAGGTAAGGCTTTAGTTAATTTGGTAAATACTTAAAAAAAAAAAAAAAAAACCTGGTTGGTCTTTAAGTCTAAAAGAGGTTATCAGAAAATAAACTAAAAATCTAAAGCTTTATAAAACAGAATGTTCATTTCATTTTTGCATAAAATGAGTGGGCTGGGTATTCTATATATCTGCTAATGAGAGGAGTAGTTCCCTTCTTCAGAACAGTAATACGAATCTTGTCCAATTAAATGGTTATCCTTTCATGCATCAGCCATTTTGATAGTAACCTTGAGTGGTTTGTCTCAGTCCAGTTCCCTGTATATCTACAGGGACTCCCTGTAATTCGGGACTTCACTCCACCCAAGGTTAAGGAAATTAAGGAAATCAAGCTCTACTTGATTGATTAAAAGACTTTGGTTTAATTAAATACCCTTTCACTCCTAGAAGTATAAACTTTTACTCTTGATAAATGATACTCAGCATGCTGGCAAAAATAAATAAACAAAAAACAACAACAACAAAAAAACCCTAGAAGGAAACCTTTTCCATACTGAGATTATTATATGAAAGTGATAATCAGATGATTTTTTTGGCCTCCACTCTTTCAAAAATCTATTGTGGTAGTTAGGTAGATGGATCCCCTGTGATAAGTCATCTAGTATATAGACTCACTACAATTTGTATCATTTTCAGAATATGAATTACACTTCAATAAAAAAGGGTTTAATAATATATTCTGGGTGTAGGCTTAGTGTAATATTTAGCTGAGCCCACAAAGTATGTTCCTTCCTGCAGATGTATTTGGTATGTTATATATTGTTAATAAGGAAAAAAATATACACAAACACACACACACAGACAACCTCCAAAACTCAAAAATTTCCTAGTCTACATGAGCCAGAAATCTGGGAAAAACAGGTAGCAGTCCACAATCTTGTTACATGTCAATAAATTAGTGTGGGTTAATTTACATTGTCAGTGTTCTCACTTTTAACATTCTAAGAGAGTTTACCAAAGCATTTCTTTTCACTGTATCATCTTGCTTCCAGGATGTTGGAACCTGTGCTCCATTTAGCAAGTCCCATGATGGGACTCCCATCGCTCCTTGTGGTGCTATTGCCAACAGCATATTCAATGGTAGGTGACTTTTCCTGTCTCCGTGGTGTGCCTTTTCATACACAGTAATAACCTAGATGTCCAGAAGATCACCTCTGCAACTGAGTAGTATTTCAAAAAAGAAAAAAGAAAAGAAAAGAAATTGTGTATACACTATCCACTGACTTATTGTATTTCATTTGCAAATAACTTCTCCCTTACCAGAGATTTGAAGTAGTTAGGGAACATGAGCTAAATGGAGCTATAGAGTATTTTTCAATAATTGGGGCCTTGGCAAGAAAGAGAATAGTTTTCTAATTCCAACATCTATTACATGTAGGCATGTTGAGAGTCTGCTAAAACCCTAGTTTACTTTTTAGCTGTGTCTGGTTTTGTACTTTGAAGTGGAGCAAAAATGCTTGCTTGCATCTCTAGCACAATTTTTAATTTCCTTACAGATACCATTATTCTTTCATACAACCTGAATTCCTCTCTACCTATTGAAGTCCCAATGCTAAGAAGTGGAATTACATGGTGGACAGATAAGTATGTCAAGTTTCAAAATCCAAGATCCAAAAATCTTTCTATTGCATTTGCAGGTAAGACCCATATATTAGCTAAATCTTCTTTTCTCTTTATAGAAACTTTTTTATGTGTGAGGAAATGTTTAAGATACTTCCTTCTTTACTTTTTTTGCTGACTTCCCCTTTGCTCTGACTTTCCCTCCCTGTGGACAATCTCCATCACGAACCTATCAGAAACATGAAATGATGGGTTCCCTGGTTCCTTTCAATTGACATTAGGAAAAAAGCAATGTTTTAAGAAACTTGTTGCTTTATTTATACTTAGGGTGACCATGTAATTTGTTGTCTAAGCTCGTGCACTTTTGAGAGTGAAAAGGGGGCACTAGAAAAACTGAAGTCATATATTTATTTTAAATTTGAATTTATTAATCAGTAAATTGACATTACCATATTGGTAGACCTATAAAATAATTCCATTACAAACTACTTTAAAAGGCAACTGTTTCAAAAATTAAAATAACATATCTGTGTATACTAAGCCAACTAAAAAAACTACTTTATTATTTAAACATTAAAAGATAACATAAGCAGAAAAACTGTTCTGGATATACAGTCACATAATTTTAATCAGTTTCTTGGCCATATCTGTCTTCATTACATGCCCCTGTATTTTTCTAATGAGTTTATTCTTTTTATTATTTTAAAAAATATTTTATTAAAATATTTTTTTACAGAACTATCTTCAGTCTTTTTTGAAATTAAACTTTATGCTTAATCAATTTGTTACTGTTGGCCCCTTTAATTGATTCTTCTCTTTTAACCTTAATTTTTTTCTTAAATAGGTGCTGAGGTACCTATTATGCTCATAGCCAATTTTACTAAATGGGGGATATTTTCATTTTCATTTTTTTATGTTGAAATATGCTAGTATTATAACCTAAATATTTTCATAGGCACTGTCTTTTTACCTCACTTTTTTTTCTATTTCTTATCTTTCTAAGTGTATTCCTAAATTTAGATGCTATAAAATCTTAAACCTTCTTGATATCATTTCATTCTGGTAGAGAAAAATTTTTGAAGAATTTATTTATTTGAGAAAGTCTGAGCGAGAGAAAGAGAGAAAGCATGAGCAAGGGTGAGGGGCAGAGGGAGAGGGAGAAGAAGACTCCCAACTGAGCGGGGGACCCTGATGTGGGACTCAATCCCAGGACTCTAGGAGCTGAGCCGAAGGCAGGCACTTAACCAAATGAGCCACCCAGGCACCCTAAAGAAAAAATTTAATCCAGTTAAAAATAGGAGCTCCATCAAAAGAGTTTTTACCTAAACTGAAATATTGTAAAGTACAATTGTAGAATTAAAAATTAAATTGGTCCACATTTTGAACTCTCATTATATAATATGTTCAGTTATTCCCTTGTTTTCATGGGGGTAAATTTTAATATCTTCTTGTCTGCAAGATTGTCTTTCAATAATTACAATTCACTAAATCAAAAACTAAGTTTTTTGGCATTCCATATTTTGGATACTTCATTTAAAATCTTTAAATTACTTTGACTAAAATTCAACCCAAAGTTAGAGGCTCATTTACCAAAAAAATTTAGGATCGTTATAGGACACATCATTTCATATACAAACTAGTTCTTCAAAGGCTCAAGCATTTCTAAAATTCTGGTTGATAATGCATAGCAAAGACAGACCACATATACTACCATCCTGAAGTGTTTCTTTTAATTATCATCCATATTATTGTAAAAATTTTACAGTTCATTTTCTCTAACTGTGAATATACAAAAATATTTAATTTGCACAACCTCAGCTCTTCTTTTGATTAGTAAAATACTGTGGCTTATTTGGGTATAGTGACAAATTATGTATCTACCACAACCAATTTAAAGTACATTGATCTGTACATTTCTCGATTTATCAAGAACATTATCTTTATTCTGATGTTGTGCTCCACCAAATTTGTGTTTATGCTGTCACCGCAAAACCAAAAACTTACACTTGATTTTTCATTTTTTAGCTGAATTTATAGCAATATTTATTATAATGTTAGAATTTTTAATCTTGAGTATCAAAAAACTTTGCTGTGATTGCATGAAAAGTCACACCAAAAAATTCAAACCATTATTATAATTAACTGATTTTTCTATTTTGAAGCATTTGAAGACACTGATGTGAAACTGGCCTCATTTAATTGTGTACAAACTTCTTTTTATACTAAAGAACAAATGGAGGCAACACATTAAAGCTTTCCTTTGTTTACCACCCCCCACCAAAAAAAAAAAAAAAAAACAAAACTAAAGGGAAGCTCAATTGATCTAAATGAAAAGTCATGCTCACATAATGACAAAGAAATGGACCTTCTGTAGCTACCTGAGGCAAAGCATTGTCTTTGGATATACTCCTAAAAATAACCACAAACCTCTGAAGTAGATGTTGATATTCTTCAGGAGAGTTATGTCTTTTAATTTTCAGTTGGTCATTGACATCACAATGGTTCCTTTGTGTGGTAATTGTCAACCAGCACTGCAAGTTTCACATTCATCAACTTTCTCAAGAAACTGTACTTAATTTTACATTAAACATACATGTTTTATTTTTTAGCTCTTTACAGCTAAAAGGACTTCCTAGCAAATAAAAACTGATACCAAACAATAAAATAGTTATACATTTGTACCATATAATAAATGATAAAACCACAGTTGCAACAAGGTTCAAATGTACACCCAGAAAGACATTCAGCATCTATCTCCCACACTATGTCATGTGTGTATAACATAACCTATAATTTCCCACATTTCCCACTGATCCCACTGAGTTGTAGGCTGGCAGCTTCGTGTGTCTCATCGGTCAACACAGAGGCCATGACCTAACTAGCTGGAGTGTCAAACAGCTGGGAGGCGTCACAGGAATATACTATGTTTTGATTGAAAGGATCTCTGGTTATCTTTCATTACTCACATGTTAAAGTAAGCATTCCATTCACTGCACATGGGTATTTCACACACTATTAGCTAAGATCTTGGCTTGAAGGTGTAAGGATGAAATGATATGTACATTATTTGTTTGGGATAAATGCTAAGTCAGGTGGGATAACAGACAAAAGACATATGCTGGGACTATCTTAGACAACTGGCAAGTATGGTCACTGTACCTATAATTGAATCCCTAGTTTTTGAAAGGAACTTGGCAACATTCTCTTGTTTTGTCTTGCCACATAACCTCAGCCTACAACACAAAGAGTCTTTGGTGTTATCTCATCTCCTGCTACACTTCGTTTTTACCTTTACTATAAGAGTTACCACATTATCCTGTAATTATCTATTTGAATACTTGTCATCCCACTTCAGCCTGTGAATTCCTTGAGGAAATTAGGAAGTTTTGTATCCCTGGTGCTTGATACATTATGACCAATCCAGAAATGCTTGTTGTTGAATAAATGGATAAATACAAATGACCCAACTTGGAAAAAGAAGAAAGTTGGTGCCTCTTAGATCACACTTCTCACACTCTCTGGAAATGAGATGAACTGGATCAGAGGTTGGTAAGGAAAAGCATGCTTAAACTTACATTTTTAACAAGCTCCCTGGGTGATGAAGATGTCAGTTTCTTATAGGACATGTTATCTTGGGACATGAGCTCATGAGAGGGTGAGGTCCATGGTGGAGGTACCAGAGGCAATTTCAGTTTTCATCAAAATTCTTCTAGCAACAATGATTGAAATTTTGGGAAGGGCCAAAATAGGTGAGCTCCACAATATTTGCAGAGGAAGTTTCTTCAGCAAAGGAATTTTTTCAGAGGAAGTTTTTGCAGAGGAAGTTTAAGTGTACAAACATACTTCAGCAGATTAATAGAACCAAACTCAGCACTTGCTTTTACAAGTACCATGCTTAGAAAACGGGACAGGTTTCTTTTAAAAGAAAATAGTTTAGTCAATCGAGTTGAGAAAGAGTGGTTTCCTCTTTTGCATTTGAATTCTGCATTACTAGAACCAATTTTCTAGAATGAAAAAGTTCATTAAGCAATTTTCTCTTATTGACTAGTTCTTAAAAATTCAATATGGATTTTATTATCTTCTGTCAACTTTCATTGGAATCACTCATTCCTTTAGCAAGCATTTGTTGAATGCCTGCTCTGTGCCAGGCACTAGACTAAATGCCAGTGAAAAAAGGACACTACAGTGAGGAGCATGGTGTATAGTGGAAGAGACAGACAAGCCCACCATGCTAAAGTGGGAAGTATGAGAACAAACGTAAACTCAACAGACTCATTTCCTGGCACTGGCCTTCCATCCTGTGCTTCCAACAGTCCTACAACACCTAAATCTACCAGGCCTCCTAGCTTTAGAACAGGCTTATAATTGGGGCGCCTGGGTGGATCAGTGGGTTAAGCCACTGCCTTTGGCTCAGGTCATGCTCTCAGGGTCCTGGGATCGAGCCCCACATTGGGCTTTCTGCTTGGCAGGGAGCCTGCTTCCCCCTCAGTCTCTGCCTGCCTCTCTGCCTACTTGTGATCTCCCTCTGTCTGTCAAATAAATAAATAAAATCTTTGGGGAAAAAAAAAAAAAGAACAGGCTCGTAACAACTTTGTTCTCTGCCTTCTCTTTATCACTTCCTCCTCCTTACTTCCAACTTTGAGCTCTAGGCACGTTGCAGCAGAAAATATCTATTTAACAGAGTCTTCATGCACATACATGATTATTTCCTTAGAATAAATTTCTAGAAGTAGAATTTCTAGGCCAAAATATATGCAAAATATATTGAAATTTTTGATGCATATTCCTAGATTGCCAGTGATGTTTTCAGTCTGTACAATTATCTGCTGTGAGGAAGAGTTCCTAGTTCCACTGCATCATCAATTGTTGTCATTTTTTTTTCTTTACCTGTTACCCAAGTTTTAGATGAAATGATCATATCTTGTTTTAATTTCCTGTCTTTAAATTGCTAGTGAAGCTAAAGAAAATGACGACAGTCCCTGTGATGCTATCCCTGAATATAACCACTATTATCCTCTTGGTCTATTTTTTCAGTGCTTTATATGCATTTAATGTAGTTGAACACATAATGTACATATAATTTGATATTCTGTTCTATTTTAACCCTATGACAAATCATCACTATTTCCCCTACATTTCCTTAGAGTTTTTATAATCCATTGTTTTTTAAAGTTTGCATACTTAGGTAGCTTATACATACACACTATTTTTAAAGTCTTAATTATTACTTCTCTTTTCTCAAGAAAGCAAAACTATTTCATCCTCTCTATTCTAAGGAAAACTTAAGGGTGTAGATGATTTCTGACAAACATGTCAATGATTTCTTCCCACAGGGACCACAAAGCCTCCATCCTGGGCGAAGCCTGTCTATGAACTGGATAAAGAGGATCCAGAAAACAATGGCTTCCTCAATGATGACTTCATTGTGTGGATGCGGGCAGCCGCCTTTCCCACTTTCAAAAAACTGTACCGTCGACTCAATCGAATACAGTACTTTACTGAAGGCTTGCCTGCTGGTAACTATAGTTTTAACATTACATATAGTATCCTTTTATATCACTCTTCTTCCTGAGGATCAAGAAAAATCAGCATCTGTCTAGGTACTAGTTGTTGAATTATTTCACTTTGTACTTTTCTATTCTACAATCTAATCTGTGTATACAAAGAAGAAATATATAGTTCTCTAATTGGTAGTACTGTCACTTGTCACCATAGAAGTGTTTGTCTCCACTTTATATATAATCAAATATGTACTTAAAAAAAATTTTTTTTTAAGAATAACAGTTAATAGCAGTATCAGGTAAGTAGGGATGGGTAAATAAGGAAGGACTATTTCTATTCCCCCAAAAGATTACATACAGTGGACCTAGAGATGTGTAACAATTTAAAGACAGGAAATTAAAACAGAGAGGGATGGGATGAGGTAGAAGACCAGGGAAATGAGAGAGAGTGATTTGGTAAGCAGTAAATTTAGATATATGCTAAAAATAATGAAAACTGAGAGACACTGTAGAACCTTTTAATCTAAATGAAAGTATAGACCAAAGGAGCCCTGGACTCAAGATGCAGGTGCAGTCCATCCAACCCATGTGATGTGTGCTATAAGTTCTGCTCTGAAAATGCTGTGTTCTTCCCTCTTTGATACCGAGCCAGCTAGTAGGAGTCAGGGCCTTGGTTAAGGACATAAGGTCCAAGTTAGGAGACACAGGCTTTAATGTGGGATTCTGAATGCTTTCACTTAATTCAAAAGTACAAATGTAACTCTTGACTTAAAGACAAAAAGATTTAACTTCAAAATGAGAGCCAAACACTATCTTTAAAAAAATTATATATTTATACACAATCTCAGGGCTACTGAGTAGGAGTTGTTCATGGGACTCCCAGCAGGCCAAAGGATCTTACCACAAAACTGTCTACTGCCTTAGTTTCTTTACATCTCGGGGAGCTTGAATGAGAAATAGTTTAGAAGAAGTGAATGACTGTATGAGCTCTAGTTCCCCACTCCATGTTTTCTTTTCTATCCTAGAGTGTGGGACATCTCCATTCTGATGCGGGGTGGGGGGGGGGTTGGGAGGGGCATTCCTCAGTCAGAGATGCACCACTGATCTGACACCCTCTCTGCTTCTTAGCTTGTTGCCTCCTTTTTGTTCACTGATGAGTATGGTTTGCCTTCAGTTCCCTCATTTTCATTTCTCCCTAAATAAAAATGAAAGCCACAGACCTGTTTCTCTTATGCAGCCTTATACATACAGATCTAAGAGTAAACCATAGAATATTACCTTTTTAATAGGATTTCAGCAAGCCACCCCCCCCAAAATTTGAGATTGAAAGTTGCTTGACAGTGGTCTCCCAAATTAGACCTTCTGATCCCAACTTTGTCTACGACTCCCTTATCAGTAAAGCAGTTAGAGTTGCAGTCACAAAACAGGAAGAAAGAAACCTATCGTGTACTGCTGTCCTCACCATGCATGCCCGGGGGTTTCGAGTTGAGGGAAAGATAAGGGACTCCATGTTCCAAACAGAGGAGACACTCTGTTTCTCCTCTGGAGTCAAGCTCTCCTTGAGTGACTTCATTCACAGTCCTGTTTTAATGCTGATGACTCTTGAGTCTAAATCTTGCAGGCAGAACCTGGACCCTGAGCTTCAGCCCTACACTTGCACCTCCCGAGCAGAGCCCTGGTGTGAGTGAGTAGTACCCAGCCTGCCTCACGGCCTTGCTGCCACGCAAGGAGAAGGACTAAATCAGAGCTGCAGCAGACACCTATACCACTCCTAAGGGGAAAAAGATGTTCTGTCTGAGAAAAAGACCTTCTTAATGGAACTGAAGGAAGAGAAAACACGCAGCTGGGTCAAGGTGGCATGCAGGGACCTGGTGACAGTGAGGGATTTTGATGGAAAAGAACTAGAGAGAGAACTTGTTTCCTAACCAGTTTCCTTATGCCTTTAAATCGCATGTTGCCAAGTGATTTGAGGCCTTTTAAGAGCTTTGCTGGGAAATGCTGCAGTCCTGTGCCGTTGCTATGAGAAGCCTTTATTTGTTTATTAGTTTGGTTTACAAAAGGCACCAGATGTTTAAAAACCTCAGGCCACATGCATAATCCAAATGACATCATTAAAATGCTAACGATAGCAAACCCACTTCAAACATATTCTCCCCAGCAATGAGGGATGTTTGCCTTTTCAAAACCCAAATGAATGCACCACTTTTAGCTTTCCCACCAAAAATGTTTTGCCATCTATCTCATTATTTTTATTCTTCACTAATTTTGAAGAATTTTCTACAAGGTAGGAATTCAAACCTTAGTTATGAAGGACTTTCGCCTACCCTGGGTCTCCTGATTCACAAACAAAAATTTAGGTTTGCTGTAAAGCACATCTGTATTCTTTTCATTTCCTTGGGTCTGCCAAAGGAAATTAAATATATTTGTCCATTTTTTTAGTTGTCTGTAAGTCAGTCTGATCTATTTGTGTCAGAATCTCTTTTATAGATTACAACTATGTAGAGGGAAGGCTTGTTTTTGCTTAATTTCATTCCAGCAAGATACAACATTGGTAAAGATTAGACAACATGAAGTTCAATATTCAACTATTTTTTTAAACCTACAAACACAACAATTTTATATGGTTCAGCTAATATATTTAGGATATACAGTGGTAGAGCTGAGAAGTGTTGAAATAATCCTTAACAGGTCTTCTTGTTTTAGATTTTCCAGTAACGAGGTTTAGAGGAGAAAAATCAGTTGTTCTTTCCACCTTGACATGGAGTGGAGGCAGTAATCTTTTCTTAGGTCTTGCCTACACAGTGACAGGAGCAGTGACATGGTTAGCCTCCTTTTCCATGATGGCAATTCACTTGATGCTGAAAGACAGGAAAATGTTCTTCATCCAGCAATAAAGTCAAGTTTTAAGAAGAAAAGCAGAAAACACAGAAATGGACAACGAAGTAACTAGCAGAGCCAAAGATTTGTGACTAGGCTCAAAATGACTGAGATATTTCATCAAGGGGAACTGGATTGACCGACCAAGTACAATCCCAGATAGGTAAATAATGAGAGATTCAGAGTGAAAAAGAGGAGGAAGACAGGAAGAGGTGGCAGAAGAGGAAAAGGCATAGTTATGTATAGTAAAATGTCCTTAGAATGGAGAAGATAAATCATCCTTGAGTTCTAAACCAAGTCTCGGGTATTTATTTGAAGGCTATGTGCCTGGAGGTAGGTGAATGCCTAGGAGAGAGTGCCATCATTAGACAAGAGTAAGTAAGCCTGGGGTCCCCAAAATTAGATGAATCCTTTAACCTCATCAGGCTCAGACCGTGAGTCTTCATTGCCAGGTCGAAATTATAGACTTCTTAACAATTGTTGAGCATCGAATTGAGCAATCAGGATGATTTTTGAAACTGATTTATTCAGTTTCTATGGATTCAAAGCTAAGTTTTCTTTGCTAAGAATATACCAAGCAAAGATTGTGGAGTGTCTGGAACACCCATAATACAGCAATTCACCAAAAAGAAAGGCCAGAGGTTTCCCTGAAGTTATTCATGTAGCCAAGAGGGAAGCACTGAAAGTTACTGATTCTCTCAAAAGTTGTATTCATCGTTTAAGGGCACAAAAAAATCCTCAAACTTATATTGGGATGACATATTCTGGGATGCAAATGATGACATGTATTTATAATACTTGAATCACATGTGTTGAGGGAGCTTTTCAGGGTCCATCTTAAGATGTTTGAATTCCTGGGATGCCTGGGTGGTTCAGTGGGTTACGCGTCTGCCTTCAGCTCAGGTCATGATCCCAAGGTCCAGGGATAGAGTCCTACATTGGGATTTTTGCTCAGCAGGAAGTCTGCTTCTCCCTCTGCCCCACACCCTGGTCTTGTGCAATGCTCCCTCTCCCTCTCACACACACACACTCTCTCTGTCTCTCTGGCAAATAACTAAATCTTTATTTTAAAAAAAAGTTCAAATTCCTGCTAAAGGTAACTTAAAGGAAACTGAACAAAGTACTTGGTAAAGCTGCCAGGCGAAGAGTCCCCACAGATTTGTGTACATAGATCTGAATACTGTCCTTTAAAAAACATTTAATATTTCTTTTTTTAAGATGGAAGAATTTTTACTCTGTGATGTCTCTAGGAGAATTTTCATTTGTTAAAGAAAAATACAGTACAAACATATATTTGTCTCTTTAGCAGCCAAGAAAGCATTTCTTTGTTGCAACTTTCTGCATTCACTGAATACTTGAGTACTTTTCCAAAAGACCAAATTTCAAATCCCAATGCTGAAATCTCAGAATCCACCCCCTCCCCACATCTAACCTTTCATCTGTAACCAGTGACCTCTGGTATCCAGGTGTGGTGAGCCAAATAATGCCTTACCTCCCACCCCAAAGATAGCCACAGCCCAATCCCAGAACCAGTGAATGTTACCTTAGATGTCAAAAGAGATTTTGCAGATGTGATTAAATTAAGAGTATTGTGTGGCAAGATTATCCTGGATTACCTGGGTGGGCCCAATGTAATTGTGTGGATACTTATAAGAGAAGCAGGAGATCAGAAGAGTAACAGGGATGTGGCAATGGAAACAAGAGTTTGGAGTGATACAAGGAAGGCATTGTGATCCAAAGAGCATAAGCACCTTCTAGAAGCTGAAAAAAGCAAGAGACATCCTCCCCTGAAGCCTCCAGAAGTTCAGTTGATATCTTGATTTGAGACTTCTGACCCCCAGAACTGTAAGATAATAAATTTATGTTGTTTTAAGCATTGAGTGTGTGGTAATTTGTTACGGCAGTCATAGAAAACTAATATACAAGGGGTTGGCACTGTTCTTGTCTCCTGGGCGATTGTTTCTCAAGTTTAGGTGAACTATCCAGGGCAGATGGCTAAGAGAGAACAGAGCTCACACCTGAACCAGGCTGGACTCTCACCTTCTCAGTTATGGTGCTGATTGGAGAAAGGCTTGCTTGAACACGTTTGCTGCATCTCAAGTTTGTTTATCGGCATAGAGAATGCTGTATTTGTCAAGGTTTTCCAGAGAAACAGAACTGTGTGTGTGCATGCGCACAAGCCGAAAGACAGTCTGCTGGAGAAACCAGGAAGAGTCAGTGTTGCAAATGAATCCTGAAGTCTGTGCTGGAGAGGTCCCTTTTGCTCAGGAGAGGTTAGCCGCCTTTTTCTATCTTCAGGCTTTCAGTTGATTGGATGAAACCACTCACATTATAGAGGGCAGTCTGCTTAGTCTCTCAGTTTTGTTTTTTTTTTAATTAAATTTTGAGGGGGTTGGTTGCACCTGGCTGGCTCTGAGAGGGGAACATGCAACTCTCGATCTTCAGGTTGTGAGTTCAGGCCCCACTTTGGGTATACACATTACTGAAAAATCAAAAATTCTTTTAAAAAAATTTTGGGAGGAATATTGTTTTATATTAACCAGATACTAGATGAATATATTCAAAAATAAATAAGCAAACAAAAAGTATTACATATGTTGTAACTATTCAAATTTTATTGTCCATTAGTGCCACTTAAAAATTTTTTTTTATTTGAATAGTCAACACATAGTGTTACTTACACTGTACAGCATAGTGAGTCAGCATCGCCATACGTCATACTATGCTCACTACAAGTGCAGCTACCTTCCGTCACCATACAGCACTATTACAATATCACTGACTGTATTCCCTAGGCCGTGCCTTTTATTTCCATGACCTATTCATTCCATAACTGGAAACCTCTATCTCCCACTCCCCCTCATCATTTTGCCCATCCACCCATCACCGTTCCCTCTGGCAACCATCTGCTTCTGTATTTATAGGTCTGATTCTGCTCTTTGTTTATTCATTTATTTTGTTTTTTAGGTTCCACATATGAGTGAGATCCTATGGTATTTGTCTTTCTCAGTCTGACTTATTTCACTTAGCTTAATATCCTCTAAGTCCATCCAAGTTGTTGCAAATGGCAAGATCTCATTCTTCTTTTATGGCTGAGTAATTATATATGTATAGCTTTATACCACATCTTTTTTATCCATTCCTCTATCATTGGACATTTAGGTTGCACCCATATCTTGGCTATTATAAATAATGCTGCAATAAACATAGGGGTGCAGATATCTTTCAAATTGGTGTGTTTGCTTTCTTTGGGTAAATACCCAGTATTAGAATTATTGGATCATATGGTATTTCTGCAGCCTCACCAACATCTTTGTTTCCTGACTTCTTAATTTTAGCCATTCTGATAAGTCTGAGGTAGTATCTCATTATGGTTTTGATTTGTATTGCTCTGATTATCACTCTGATGAGTAACACTGAGCAGATTTTCATGTGGCTGTTAGCCTTCTGTATGTCTACTTTGGAAAAACATTTATTCATGTCCTTGGCCCGTTTCTTAACTGGATTATTTGGGTTTTGGGTATTGAGTTTGATGAGTTCTTTATAGATTTTTGGATTCCAACCCTTTATCTGACATGTCATTTGCAGCCCTTTTTTTTTTTAAGATTTTATTTATTTATTTGACAGAGAAAGATCACAAGTAGGCAGAGAGGCAGGCAGAGAGAGGAGGAAGTAGGCTCCCCAGTGAGCAGAGAGCCCGATGTGGGGCTTGATCCCAGCACCCTGGGATCATGACCTGAGCCAAAGGCAGAGGCTTTTTTAACCCACTGAGTCACCCAGGCACCCCTGCAGCCCATTTTTTAAATGTGATTGTTTTTTGGTGTTGAGTTGTTTAAATTCTTTATATCTTTTGAATGTTAACCCCTTAAGAATATATCATTTGCAAATCTCTTCTCCCATTCAGTAAGTGGCCTTTTTTGTCTTGTTGCCGGTTTCCTTTTCATCTTGTTGATGGTTACCTTTCCTGTGTAAGAGCTTTTTATTTGATATAGTCCCCAATAGTTTGTTTTTTACTTTTGCTTTTTAGGAATCATATCTAGAAAAATGTCGCTACTGCCAATGTCAAAAAAAATTACTGCCTGTGTTCTCTTTTAGGGTTTTATGGTTTCAGGCCTCACATTTAGGTCTTTAATCCATTTTAAAGTATGTGTGTATGTGTCTGCATGTGTATGTATGGTGTTAGAAAGTGGTCCAGTTTCATTCTTTTGCATGTAGCTGTCCAGTTTTCCCAGCAGCACTTACTGAAGAGACTCTTTTTTCTTTGTTGTCTATTCCTGCCTCCTTTGTCACAGATTACTTGTTGATCTACCAATTTAAATGTTAAGTCTCATACAAAAACACCCTTCCAGAAACATCCGGAATAATGTTTGACCAAATATACCATGGCGCAATGAACCTGACCCATAAAATCAATCACCACAGAAGGCATCTGCATTCACTAAGTAATCGACTCTTTTCCCAAAAAAGTACCACTCATCTCATTTTATACGAGAGTTGGCTCAGTGGGAAAGACCTATACAAAATCTAAGTCTGTATGCAAGAAACTAAACTATTCAAGAACTATGAGTCACTGGAATTTATGACAGAATGGAGATGTGAGTGTACTTCCTTTCTTCTGCTTCTCCACAAGACAACAGGCCCAAAGCAGTCTGTCTTTGCAAGACGCTCACCCTGCTATAAAATTTGGGAGCCATCCTCCTTCTCCTTGTTAGGGTAAAAGTGTCATCATTTACAATTAATTCCCTACTCACAATATGAAGCTTGATTTTTCTGGTTTTCTTTCTCTCCTATTCTTTCTCTTCTCTCCCCCATCATCATGCTCTTGTCTTCTTCCTCTACTTTTCTAATTCTTCATCCTTATGCTTTTGTGAACTGGTAGGTGAAGGCTTGGAAAAACTAGGTGCTACTCAACCTTTCTCCAACTTCTGGAAACAGTTCTGGAGTGAGAAAAAGTGAGCACGAGATCAAGAGAGACAAGAATAAAAATGAGTATCAATGAGAGTTTATACGTGAATGCGTGTGTTTGTGCATGTATGAGTGTGACTGTTTAGAAACTTCATTGGTGTTTTGAGGTGCTTTAATTTAGGTGTATATTCTAAGTGTGTAGGCAGAGACAGCAAGTATAAAATTGGGTAGGACTGGGCTGCCTGTGGCTCAGTTGGTTAAGCATCTGCGACTGTCTTTGGCTCAGGTCTTAATCC